TATATATAATATATAATATATATAATATATATATAATATTTATAATATATATAATATATATGATATATATAACATATATATATATAATATATATATATAATATATATAATATATATATATAATATGTAATATTTATTGAATATATATAAAGCATATACAATATATATAATATATATACAATATATATAATATATATATGATATATATATAATATGATATATATAATATAATATATATAATATATATAATATAGTTAATATATATGATATATATATATAATATAGATAATTTGTATTATATATATACTATATATAATATATATATACTATATATAATATATATATAATATAATATATATATATGATATAATAATATATATATATATTTGATATATATATATATGATATATATAATATATATTATATATGTCACATATAATATACAATATATACTCAATATAATAAATATAATACATAATATATATATATATATAATATAGAAACATATATAATATATAATATATAATTGCAACATTAAAAGTTAAGCTGGCGACCAAAAAAAGATTTAAAATACCAACCAATATTAAATATAGAGAGCCGACATCAGCGCAAATCGAAGCATATAATGAATCCTTTAGGCAAATAATTGAAAAGCAGAAGCTCGACGGATCCTGGCACACACAAGACAAGGGAGATATCATCGCGCGCGCAGTCACACAAGCCGCCAAGCAACATTTCACAAGGGTTCCCATAACTCAAAAGAAAGATTATCTATCAGACCGTACCTGGCAACTAATTCTTCAAAAAGAAAAGGCGATTGAAGATGGCAACTTATATCTGTTACCTCAACTAAATAAAGACATAAAACGATACGCGAGACAAGACAGAGAAACTGCAACAATAAGACAGCTGGAAGAAGCAGATGCACAAGGTTATAAATGGGAAGGATTAAAGGCAGCGCGTAAAACGTTTCAACCTCGACGTACTAAATTCAAAAACAAACATGGACAAATCATCAAAGAATCCGATTTTGCTGACGAAGCTGCTACGTATCTGGAAACAGTACAATGGGCACCGCCCGCAGATGATGACATTAACCTATCATACGAAGACCAATATATTTGTTTTGGAGAGACATGTATGACGGATGAAAATTTTACTAAGGCAGAATTAGACCATGTCCTTAAAACGCAAAAACACGGGCAAAACACCTGGGCCAGATAATTGCCCAGCCGAATTCTTTCAATGGCTCAACCACGGAAACAGACATATCCTGCTTGAATGTTTTAATGACATTCTAGACAGGGACATATACCCTGAAAGCTTTAAATTGGCAAACATTGTCTCGATTTACAAAAAGGGAGATGCAACACAGATGAAAGATTACAGACCTATAGTACTCCTACAAACACTATACAAAATTCTTGCAGGACTTATCAAAAACCGCCTTTTACAAGCATATGATCCATGGATACAAAGAAGTCAATTCGGTTTCAGACCAAAGAAATCCACACCTCAGGCCATCTTTCTTGCCCGCCGCCTGATGGACATCTCAGAACGTACAGGGTCAAATCTATCTTTGGTTCTATTGGATTGGAAAATGGCTTTTGATAAAGTAAACCAATCAAAACTTCTACAAGCTCTTCGTAGATTAAAGGTACCGCCCAGGATGCTTAAAACCATTGAACATATCTATTCTTCTCCTAAATTCAGAGTCGCAACCGGCGGACACAGTTCTAATTACAGAACACAACGTTCAGGAATTAGACAAGGTTGTCCTTTATCACCCTACCTCTTCGTTATCCTAATGTCAACCCTTTTCCATGATATCAAACAAAGACTGACCACACCAAAGCAAAAAGAACCTCTAAGTGGTATTGAATATACTGAAATATTGTATGCGGATGACGCACTTATCTTTGGGAATTATACTCATCATATCAACCTGCTGCTGAAGGAAATACAGCTAGAATCAAAATATTACAATATGGAATTGAACTTAGACAAATTTTAAACCTCACACTAAACCAAAAACAATCATCCATCAAATACTTGGACGGCACACCGGTCCCGAGAAAAAGGTCAGCCTTCTATTTAGGTACATTGCTCACTGACACCGTGGACAACCACAGAGAGATTATGAACCGGATTGCTGATTGTACCCGTACATGTAATCAACTCAAATTATTTTGGAACAAAGCGAAGACATCCATCAAATGGAAAGTTCAAGTTTTTCATTCTATCCTCAGAAGTAAGCTGTTATACGGATTAGAAACCATACAGTTAAATTTGACAGATCAAAAAAGAATAGATAGTTTTCAGTTGAAGGGATATCGAAGGATCCTACATTTACCCCCCACATATATCGACCGCACAATAACAAATGATTTTGTCAAATCTCAAATTAGAAACCACATGAACACGGACCTAAGAATGTTCTCCTCCATTTGGCAACAACGCAAACTTTCCCTTCTTGGTCATATTATCAGATCTGCGCCTAGTGACCCTATGAGACAAGTTCTGTTTGAAAAAGGAACTTTAATTCCAAGATTGGAATTTCGTAAGCGGCCCGGAAAACCTCGACAACAATGGTTAACAACAACATATGATGATGCTTATCAAACTCTGAACCAACCACACCCATTTGACATAGATAATCCTGCGCATAGACAGCTAGTCAACGACCTAGCTTGCCAGAGAATTGGAGTCTTCTCGTGATCCATCACCGAATATCGTCACCGAAATCATCACCGAAAATTGCGGCAAATCGTCACCGAAAATCGTCACCGAAAATCATCACCGAAAGCAAAGGGCTTTCTCCCTGCTCTGCCAATATCACAGTGGGTATTGGGATTACTTTTGTCTCCCCCTTGACATCTTTAAGTTGTTTCTAATTTCATGTTTGTCTCCTACACTAACGTTTTTTGACATGGCACTGCAAGGTAGAGATCAGTTTCTCCCCCCTGGCACCGTATTTTTGCATGATTACGTTGGATTCTGCGCTCAGCCTGTCTGGCCTGCGCTTGGCAAAAAATATAATATATATATAATATATAATATAATATATATATAATATAATATATAATATATGATATAATATATATATTATAATAGAATATATATATAATATATAATATAATATATATGTATATATAATATAATATATATAATAATATATATATATATCATAATATATATATAATATATATATATACATATAACATATATAGTATATATAATATATATAATATATGGGTTGTAATATATGTAATATAATATATAGATAATATATAATATATTTAATATTTATATAATATAGAATATATATAATATTTATATAAAATAATATTTTTATATACTATAATATATAGAATTTTAATAGGAGATAGAATATAAAATATATAATATATAATATATATAATATGTAATGTACAATATATAATATATAACATTTTAATAATATATATATATTATATGATGAATTTATATAATATTAAATATATTTTTTAGTTTAATATATATGATTTAATATTAAAAAATAGTATATAGCATATAATATGAATAATATATATATATAAATTATAAGATAGACGATATAATACAGAATATGTAATGTTTCATATTTAACTTTGAAAATAGAGTATATAATGTATAATATATGATTAAAAGAATCAATATATAGTATTCAACATAGTATATTTAATATATTATATACAATATGTAATATATATATATATTTTTTTAAATATACTCTATATAATAGATAATATGTTTTAAATAATATTTGATATTTAATATAACATATTTAATATATAATATTAAATACATAATATATTATATATAATTTTAGATATATAATATATTATATATAATTTTAGATATATAATATTAAATATATCGTATATTATAGAAAATATAACATATTTAGATACATAATATAAAATGTAAAATGTAAGATATAATATATAACATATTGTATATCACACATATAATACATATATACATATATATATACATAAGTCTACACCATTTCTTTTTAGGACCCAGCCAGATCTGTATTGAAGGCCAGATGAACACTGCGGCCCTGTCAACTCTATTCGGGACTCCAGTTGGACCAGCCATTGGCTCAAAATACCAAGCTGACCTGCACAAAAAGACAGTCTAGTGTAGGCTCAGCATGGTTTCATAAACGACCCATGACTGGGAATGGTAACCATACCACCTTTAAAAATGGTGATGACAGAGGGATGGTGCAAATGGCATTGTTTTACCTACATTAAGATGGTTTAGGCTCAACATGCTCTGTCTTCCGTTCAAGAGCTAGTCTCAACTGCACAGTAGATGGCATCTCACATGAAGCGGGGGCGACATTTCAGAATGATCCGAAAGTGTCAGCACATCTTCAACATTGTGGCAGCCAAGGCACTGCTTCCCTTCTAGACAGATGAAATTTGGATTTTGGTAGCACGCTTAAGCACTTTAGTAGACATCAGAGCAACTGACTCCGGCACGCCATGCGCAGCCCAAAACGGGCTGCGAAAATGGGCTGCGAGGCAGAGGAATATTTTCGCTTCTGGCTCATGGCGAAGGATTTCAGGCACCTCGACAAGTTTCATCCCGCCTCACTGCGGCGGGACATGATAAGCTTCGGAGTGACTCAGCCCATGCTTCACTTGGCGCGCTGCCGGCCGGTGGGCTTGCTGTTCTTGCTGGTGAAGGTGGAGGGAAGGGCTGCGGCTGAAAGTAAATTTGCCGAGAATCCAACCCTACTGTATGAATTAATGTCATATTGATATACAACTTCATTTAATGTTTCATTGTGCTCATATCAACTGTTTCCAAAGCGTGGCTTGGGCAATTTCAGAAAGCAACAGTGGCCTTTTCAAACTTAGCATCCAGCTACTTGGCCCCTGCCCGCGCTCATCATGCTAGGTGTTCCTCCGCGTGCACCGCGACGCGGATGCCGCGGTGCAGCAGCAGCTGCAGCTCTGGAGTCGCTGCCGCAACGGTTCCCTGGACCTCTGTCGTCGCCTGGACGATGGGGTCATGGCCGAAAGCATGGAAAGCAACGGCACGGGGACGTCAACGGTGCCCTGGGGAGTTGGAAAGATGGGAAAGAGGCAGTTTCTGGCTGTGGAGCAGGAGATTTGGGAGGCCGACTCAGGTCAAAGAGGAGGTTTTTCTGGTTTTTCCGCTTTTTTCTTAACTGTTTTTTCTACTTTGTTTTGTTGTTCTGTTGTTGGGGGTTGTGTTTTGGATCTATCTCAATCTTTTAACTTTTTTGCGGCTTGCATTCCAGGCCATTGGGATACATTTGAAGATTTCCGAAGGCCAGAGTTTGAAGCTTTCGCAAGGTCAGAGTTGTGGGCCTTGCAACCTGCTCCAAAGTGAAAGGAAGGTCTACTCTCAGTATGGCGTGGATGGAGTTTTGGAAGAGCTCTACAGGCACACTGACCACACATTTATTGGCTTGGCCTGCAGTCATGGCCCGAAATGCCAATTATAAGTCAGTTATAATTTCATGTATGGACTGATAACCTCACTTATAACCATTTCAAACTGGTAAAGGGCTTTATCTGTGGTGATGGCAAAAATCTTTCGGGAACACTGTGGTAAACCAGATTTATATGTTTTATTGTCTTGTGGGCCCCCTTAAGCAAATCATCTCCCCACAGTATTTGCGGGGCAAAAATCATCACTAGTATTTAAACCTCGGAAAGTTGATTCACCTGCATTCTTGTCTCAAGTCTAGCCTTACTGCTATAGGGCCCAACAGTGAAGCCCAGCTAATCCTGTTCCCCGTCCATATTAGTTACACCCCCGAAACGAAACCATGGTAATAAACAAGATGCAGCCCACGAACCCGAATGCAGTCACGTAGAACACTTGTGTGAAACAAGTTATTTGAACAGCCTTGTACATTTTGCCCCCGTTGCCTGTTACTGTACCAGTGCACTGTAGACTGTGGAATGCGGAAGAGGGTGGAGTGCAAAGTGTGGGGCGTGAAGAAAGTGGGGTGTTGAGTGGGGAATGTAGTGTGTAGAGTGTGAAGTGCAGATTGTGGAGTGTGGAGTGTACAGTGTAAGGTGCGGGGTGGAAAGTGTGAAGTGTAGAGTGTAGAGAGCAAAGTGTAAAGTAAAAAGTGTAAAGTGCAGAGTGTGGAGTGTAAAGTGTAAAGTGTGGAGTGTGGAGTGTAAAGTGTAGAATGTAAAGTGTAAAGAGTGGAGTGTAGAGTGTGGAGTGTAAAGTGTAAAGTGTGGAGTGTAAAGTGTAGAGTGTGGAGTGTAGAGTGCGGAGTGCAAACTGTAAAGTGGAAAGTGTGTAGTGTAAAGTGTGGAGTGTAAAGAGTAAATAAAGCGTGGAGTGTAAAGTCTAAAGTGTGGAGTGGGGAGTTGAAAGTGTGGAGTGCAGAGTGTGGAGTGTGAAGTGTGAAGTGTGGAGTGTAAAGTGTAAAGTGTAGAGTGTGAGTGTGAAGTGTAAAGTGTGGAGTGTAAAGTGTGGATTGTGGAGTGTAAAGTGTAAATGGGGAGTGTGAAGTGTAAAGTGTGGAGTGTGAAGTGTAGAGTGTGGAGTAGGGGAGAGGGATCAAAAAAAAACAAATAAGGATCAAAAAAACAAATAGGGATCAAAAAAAAACAAAATCCAGAAAACATGAGAAAACACAAGGAAACTATCACGAAATGAAGGCAAAACCCATGGATCAAAAAAAACAAAATCAGGAAAGGAAAGAAAGAAAGAAAGAAAGAAAAAAAGAAAGAAAGAAAGAAAGAAGTAACCTTCTCTTGAAAAATGAAAGGAAAGCTTCCTTCTCTTGACCCCCCCACCCGCTTTTATTTTTTAGCCGGCTCCCCTTGCTACCTACTATTCTTTTTATTCTTTTTTTTCACAAGCATCATCGTTGTTTATTTGGGTTCATTTACTGTAATCTTGATTGATATCCATCGCGACTTGTGCCTATGTACTTCTTTCTTGGTACGCATTGCGGGGGGAGGCGCTGCGCCCTTCCCCCTGCACCCCCCCACCTGCTTTTATTTTTTAATCGGTTCCCCTTGCTACCTACTATTCTTATCTATTCTTTTTGTTTTTCATAAGCATCATCGGTTATTTGGGTACATTTTATCTTTATTGATATCCATCGAGATTTGTGCCTATGTACTTCTTTCTTGGTACGCATTGCGGGGGGAGGCGCTGCGCCCTCCCCCCTGCACCCCCCCACCCGCTTTTATTTCTTAATTGCTTCCCTTGCTACCTACTATCTTTCATTTTTTTCATAGGCATCGTTTCTTTGGGTTCATCTTCTCTTTCTTAATCTTTATTTATATCCATCGAGACTTCAGCCTGTGTGCTTCTTTCTTGGTACGCATTGCGGGGGGAGGCGCTGCGCCCTCCCCCCTGCACCCCCCCACCCGCTTTTATTTTTTAATCAGCTTCCCTTGCTACCTACTCTATTTCTTTTTTTTCGCAAGCATCGTTTATTTGGGTTTATTTTTTATATAATCAATATTTTCATTCTTGCTGCTGCTAGTAGTAGTAGTAGTAGTAGTAGTAGTAGTACTAGTACTAGTACTAGTACTAGTACTAGTACTAGTACTAGTACTAGTACTACCACTACAACTACTTTCTTCCTTCCTTCCTTCCTTCCTTCCTTCCTTCCTTCCTTCCTTCCTTCCCTCTATTTCGTTTTTTTGATCCTTATTTGTTTTTTTGATCCTTATTTGGACTTATTTTTTTTTGCAAGATCAGAGAAACACACTTACAAGTATTATGAGACATCGTGGACGAACACTCGATCAGACAACATGCAAGCACTACGTGACCTGTTCCTCGAAATGTATGTGCCGGCCAGAGGCCCGGCAAAGCGCGCAAACTAGCTCTGGCCAAGCCTTTGTCGCCACAAAAAGGTGGATGGTATGGCCCACCAACTGCTACGTTTAGTGTTACGGTACTACTGCTGCCGCTGTAATCCGCTGTATGCTGTGACAGCGCAACAAAGGTGGATGATAAGGCCCATCTACATTGCGAAATGTATCATGACCATGTGACGCTTTGCGGGGGGAAGCGCTGCGCCCTCCCCCCTGCACCCCCCCACCCGCTTTTATTTCTTAATTGACTTCCCTTGCTACCTACTCTATTTCTTTTTTGTCGCAAGCATCGTTTCTTTGGGTTTATCTTCTCTTTCTTAATCTTTATTTATATCCATCGAGACTTGAGCCTGTGTGCTTCTTTCTTGGTACGCATTGCGGGGGGAGGCGCTGCGCCCTCCCCCCTGCACCCCCCCACCCGCTTTTATTTTTTAATCGACTTCCCTTGCTACCTACTCTCTTTCATTTTTTTCATATATGTATCCCCATTTGTTTTTTTTTGGATCCTCCCATTCCGCAGTTTCTTGACGATTTTCACTACGATCGTCCTTTATTTGTTTTTTTTGATCCTTATTTGTTTTTTTTTGATCCCTCAATTTTTTTTTTTGATCCTTATTTGTTTCCTTTTTTGATCCGTTAGCCGTGGAGTAGAGTGTGGAGTGTAGAGTGCGGAGTGTAAAGTGTGGAGTGTAAAGTGTGGAGTGTAAAGTGAAAGTGTGGAGTGTAAAGTGTAAAGTGTGGAGTGTGGAGTGTAAAGTGTGGAGTGTGGAGTGTGTAAGTGTGGGGTGTAAAGTGTAAAGTGCGGAGTGTGGAGTGTAAACTGTGGAGTGTAAAGTGTGGAGAGTAAAGTGTGGAGTGTGGAGTGTAAAGTGTGGAGTGTGGAATATAAAGTGTGGAGTGTAAAGTGTGGAGTGTAAAGTGTAAACAAAGCGTGGAGTGTAAAGTGTAACGTGTGGAGTGTGGAGTGTAAAGTGTAAAGTGTAGAGTGTGCAAAGACAATTGTGGAGTGTAAAGTCTAAAGTGTGGAGTGTGGAGTGTAAAGTATAAAGTGTGAAGTGTAAAGTGTAGAGTGTGGTGTGAAGTGTAAAGTGTGGAGTGTGATGTGTGGAGTGTGATAGTGTAGAGTGTGGAGTGTAGAGTGAAAAGTGTGGAGTGTGGAGAGAAAATGCGGAATGTAAAGTGTAAAATGTGGAGTGTAAACTGTAAAGTGTGGAGTGTGGAGTGTGGAGTGTAGAGTGTGGAGTGTAAAGTGTGGAGTGTGGAGTGTAAAGTGTAAAGTGTGGAGTGTGGAATATACAATGTGGAGTGTGGAGTGTAAAGTGTGGAGTGTAAAGAGCTGAGTGTGGAGTGTAAAGTGTGGAGTGTAAAGTGGGGAGTGTGGAGAGTAGAGTGTGGAGTGTGGAGTGTAAAAAGTGTGGAGTGTGGAATATGAAGTTGGGAGTGTAAAGTGTAAACTTTGGAGTGTGGAGTGTAAAGTGTAGAGTGTGAAGTGTAAAGTGTGGAGTGTAAAGTGTGGAGTGCAAAGTGTAGAGTGTGGAGTGTAGGTGGAGTGTAGAGTGCAGAGTGTTAAGTGTAAAGCTTTCCCTATAGACACGGCGATGCCACAAGAGAACCAAAGACTCGAGACGAGACATGTCGGAGCATCAAAACGAGCATTTCGTGCGAGAATTCCTCCAATTTTCACACTTTGTAGCTGCAAAATCCACGTTTTCCGACCAGTTTTATTTGCTACCTCAAAATCGATGTTTCGTGCGAGGCTTGCGAAACATCAGGGTACCATACAGGGGGAATGATCAACACTGAGAACCCCTCAAGGGGATTCAACCCTTTAGGTTGGGTGGGGGGGGGACCATCAGGGTACCATACAGGCGGAATGATCAACACTGATAAACCCCTCAAGGGGATTCAACCCTTTAGGTTGGGTGGGGGGGAAACATCAGGGTACCATACAGGGGGAATGATCAACACTGAGAAACCCCTCAAGGGGATTCAACCCTTTAGGTTGGGTGGGGGGGGGAACCATCAGGGTACCATACAGGAAAAATGATCAACACTGAGAAAACCTTCAAGGGGATTCAACCCTTTAGGTTGGGGGGGGAACATCAGGGTACCATACAGGGGGAATGATCAAGACTGAGAAAACCTTCAAGGGGATTCAACCCTTTCGGTTCGGTGGGGGGGGAACCATCAGGGTACCATGCAGGCGGAATGATCAACACTGAGAAAACCTTCAAGGGGATTCAACCCTTTAGGTTCGGTTGGGGGGGAACCATCAGGGTACCATACAGGCGGAATGATCAGCACTGATAAACCCTTCAAGGGGATTCAACCCTTTATAGGTTGGGTGGGGGGGGGAACCATCAGGGTACCATACAGGCGGATAGATCAACACTGATAAACCCTTCAAGGGGATTCAACCCTTTAGGTTGGGTGGGGGGGGGTACCATCAGGGTACCATACAGGCGGAATGATCAACACTGATAAACCCCTCAAGGGAATTCAACCCTTTAGGTTGGGTGGGGGGGAACATCAGGGTACCATACAAGGGGAATGAGAGAAACCATTTAAGGGGATTCAACCCTTTAGGTTGGGTGGGGGGGGAACCATCAGGGTACCATAGGAAAAATGATCAACACTGAGAAAACCCTTCAAAGGGATTCAACCCTTTAGGTTGGGGGGGGAACATCAGGGAACCATACAGGGGGAATGATCAACACTGAGAAAACCTTCAAGGGGATTCAACCCTTTAGGTTGGGTGGGGGGGGAACCATCAGGGTACCATACAGGCGGAATGATCAACACTGATAAACCCTTCAAGGGGATTCAATCAACCCTTTATTGGTTGGCGTCGTTGTCGTCGTCGTAGTCGTAGTCGTAGTCGTAATCGCAGTCGCAGTCGTAGTCGTAGTTGTAGTCGTAGCAGAAGAAGAAGAAGAAGTAGTAGTAGTAGTAGTAATAGTAGTAGTAGTAGTAGTAGTAGTAGTAGTAGTACTAGTAGTAGGACTAGTAGTAGTACTAGTAGTAGTAGTACTAGTAGTAGTACTAGTAGTAGTAGTACTACTAGTAGTAGTAGTAGTAGCAGTAGTAGTAGTAGTAGTAGTAGTAGTAGTAGTAGTAGTAGGAGGAGTAGTAGTAGTAGTAGTGGTAACTATAAGCGAGGTACAAGCGAGAAAAAAACGGAGGTACAAGCGAGAAAAAATTGGAGGCACAAGCGATGCGCCGACCTTTTGCCGGCTCTTGTCGTCGTCGTCATCATCGTTATTGCTTTTCTTGTTCTTGTTCTTGTTCTTTTTGTTGTTTTTGTTATTGTTGTTGTTCTTGCTGCTGCTGCTGTTGTTGGTTTTGTTGTTTTTGTTGTTGTCGTCGTTGTTGTTGTACTTGTTGTTGTTGTCGTCGTCGTTGTCGTTGTGGTTGTGGTTGTTGTTGTTGTTGTTGTTGTTGTTGTTCTTGTTCTTGTTCTTGTTGTTGTTGTTGTTGTTGTCGTTGTCGTTGTTGTTGTTGTTGTTGGTTGTTGGTTGTTGTTTGTTGTTTGTTGGTTGTTGGTTGTTGGGTGATGTTTGTTGTTTGTGTTTGTTGTTGTCGTTGTCATTATCGTTGTAGTTTTTTTTTTTGTTGTTGTTGTCGTTGCTGTTGCTGGTGTTGTTGTTGTTGTTGTCGTCGTCGTCGTCGTTTGCAAGATTTTGAGTCTGTGCTTGTTGTATTTGCAAGATTTTTGCATTTGTTTTTGTATTTGTATTTGTTTTTGTTTTTGTTGTTGTCGTTGTCGTTGTCGTTGTCGTTGTCATTGTTGTTGTTGTTGTTGTTGTTGTTGATGTATGTTGTTGTTGTTGTTGTTTTTGTTGTTGTTGTTGTTTTTGTTTTTTTTTGTTGTTTTTGTAGTTGTTTTTGCATTTGTCTTTGTATGTGTATTTGTTTTTGTTTTTGTTTTTGTTGTTGTCGTTGTCGTTGTCGTTGTCATTGTTGTCGTTGTCGTTGTTGTCGTGGTTGTTGTTGTTGTTGATGTATGTTGTTGTTGTTGTTGTTGTTGTTGTTCCCCACCTGCCAGGTGAGGGTTGTTAGATTTTATGTCAGTTGCCTGCTCCTCTCCTCTCCTCCCTCATCTCTCCTCCTCTCCTCCTGCTCAACCGCGATCCACAGTGTTCTCTGTCGGACCTCAACCACGACCATCCCCGCCCAGTGTTCCCTGCCGGACCTCAACCACGACCATCCACGCCCAGTGTTCCCTGCCGGACCTCAACCGCGAGTATCCCCGCCCAGTGTTCCCTGCCGGACCTCAACCACGACCATCCACGCCCAGTGTTCCCTGCCGGACCTCAACCGCGAGTATCCACGCCAAGTGTTCCCTGCCGGACCTCATGTAGGAAGATATGGGACAAAGAATGTGCAGAAGAAAGTTAGAAAGAATGTCAGACAAGTATGTTATATATTACTTGCAAACTCGCGCGTGTGTGGTACAGTGACCGGGGCAATGCCGCTTCTTACTTTGCTGCTTTCAATCAGTTTGAAGCTCTGGAGTTTACTTCACATGGCCCACTGACATGTTTATATCCTGTTTGACAGACTGACATGCACAATGACCTGCCAGGTGAAACAAATGATTGGGATAGTTAGTTGGGAAAAAGTCCCGTGACAAAAGCTTCAGACAAAAGTGGTGTCAACAAGCTGTTTTGAAATGTCATGGTGGGGATCACTCGAAGCAAAGTAATTTTTGTTTTTGTTTTTGTTGTTGTTGTTGTCGTTGTTGTTGTTGTTGATGATGTTCCTGTTGGCGTTGATGTTGATGTGAATGTTGATGATGATGTTGTGTTTGTTAATGTTTTTGTGTTGTCGATGTTGAGACTGCTGTTGATTTTGTTCTTGTTGTTGATGTTGTGCATGTTGTCGATGTAAGTAAAGAAGCGTTGGGAGCGAGTATGTTTCCGGCGTTGAAAGCGAGTTGATTTTCGGCGTCGGGAGCGAGTGTCCGACCCCCGACTTCCATTTTCAGGTGCCTGGGCGTCACCAGCATGATTTATGTGGAGATCGGAACGCAGTATGGGATCCAATGTAGTACCCGATTTTTGCGCGTGGCACATGGCTTCAAAGGCCGGGGTTTCTGAAGTCACATGGGGGATCCCCAGTCGTCACCATGCCAGAGGTTTCACTAGTAATTAAAATGGTTTCATATCATGACTTGGATGATGGGGGTGCTCCCATTTGGGGAAACCTCTGGGGTCTAAGTGGCGTCTAAGTCCAGACATGCCAGGGATCCGCACCCTGCAGGCTTCATGTTTGATGATCAGCATGAGGATGGGCGAATAGGTCTCTTGGTGACACTTTGAATGCTGGTTGGTCCAAAAGTAGGGGATGCTGCAGGATTTCCATTCCTGAAGCTGGCCACAGCGGTGGATTTCGTGGTTTCTAAAAATGAGATAGTCCAGCTCGACCTTCAGAAGGCTTTTTGGGCAGTTCAAGTTCTGTAGGCCAAGCTTTATTGGCGGTAGCCCAATGCTTAGATTTTCCCATTATGTTTTGCGGGGGTCACCCCGAAAATTTGACCTGAAGCCTGAAACCCCCAAGCGCAGGTTTGAATATGATCTCTTTGCAGACACTTTGCTTGGGTTTGTTTAGTCGGTGATTTGGTTTATTTTCCCAATGGGAAATCCAGTACGAATGGATAATCTATAGGGACTTTCTTTTTTAAGCGATTTTTTTTGGGGTTCCTTCAGCAAATCCAACTTTTTGCATTGTTGCATTCTCCCTCTTGCAGTCCTCACTCGTTTTGACCCCATTTCTTTTCAGTGATTTGGGACGCTGCGGATACCGATACTGATGTGGCATTGGTGAATCATCATTTTCCTATATTTTCTTCATGTACATGTCATTTTTTGCGGTATTCCCCATTTTTCCGACAGACCCAAAAATCTTTCATAAGTGAATTCTGCAATTCCAGCACCGGGCCCCTGGTTTTGACCGAGACATGGTCCCACATCCAGCTGGTGCAGGAACCAACCCATATTTGTTTGATTGATTGACTGATTGATTGATTGATTGATTGATTTGATGAATTGATTGAGCAACCAGCCCATATTTAATTGATGGGATACCAACTGTGACCAACCCGTATAGCAAGGTGGGCTGATGGATCGGAATTGTGGGTCCTGATGTACCCTGATGTCCTGATTTTGTATCGACTCTAGACTCTACACGAGCCAGTTTTGCCTACAGGATCCACAGCACACCTGCTTGCAGCAGTTCCTGGATATAGACACCCTAGCTAATTATTAACTAGAGATATTTCAGGAGGATACATCTACCTTTTCAACCCTAGGGAACTTACTGAACTCAACCAACTTAGCTCTCCATGTTAAGCGGTGTTACACCCAAAATCCCCATATTTCGAGTGGTTAAACCCAATCCCCATGCCTTTCTTGGTTTTAACTACCCATTGAACTATATAATGGTGAAACATGATTTGCTCAGCTAGTCCCGTGTATATATATATATGATTATAATATATACATATATATATAAACATATACAAACATCCGTGTATAAACCTCCTTTGAGTTCGGGATCTTCCACCGATCGCCATGTTTCTCATTTTCCACCGTTGCGGGTGAACAATCCCAACCTTCACCAGTTCACCCTTGCAAATAGCAGGGTATCTAAGATTGGCCATGATTACATTATAGGGGGATTAATGTTGGATGCTAATTAGTGTCGGGCCACCCCCAAACAATCCTGAGACTCTCTTTAAAGTTTTTTTTTAAGTGCCAGGTCTTCAATAAAATTGGATCACTTGATTTCAATTTATTTCAAGTGATGTTCAATTGATTTCAATTTGTTTTCAATTGATTTCAATTTACTTCCAACTGATTTCAATTGATTTTCAACTGATTTCAATTTACTTCCAACTAATTTCAATTGATTTTCAATTGATTTCAATTTACTTCCAGTTGATTTCAATTGATTTTCACTTGATTTCAATTGTTCTCAGTTTACTTTCAACTGAATTCAATTTAGTTTCAATTGGTTTCAATTGATTTTCAATTGATTTCAGTTGATTTTCAACTGATTTCATTTTATTGTCAATTGATTTCAATTTACTCTCAGCTGATTTCAATTGATTTCAGTTTACGGTCAATTGATTTTCAATTGATTTCAATTTAGTTTGAATTTAAGTTCAATTGATTTATCATAAAAATCCCACAGGAATCCCATAGAAAGATCATAGATATATCATGGAAATAGCATAGGAACCACAATGAAATCCCATAAGAATCCCATAGAATTCTGATTCCGATAGAATTCCCTCAGACATCCCATAGAGGAATATCATAGAACCATGATGGAACTCCCATAGGAATGCCATAGGAATCCCATAGGAATCCCAAAGAAATCCCATAGAAACATCATAGAAATACCATAGAAATCACATGGGAATCCAATGGAAATCCCATAAGAATACCATAGAGTTCCCACAGCATCCCTTCAGAAATCCCATAGTAATCTCATAGAAATATCATAGAAACATCATGGAAGTCCCATAGGAATGCCATAGGAATCTCATAGACATCCAATAGTAATACCATAGAAACGTCATAAAAATCCAATAGAAATATCATGGAATTCCCACAGAAATCCCATAGGAAAAAATAATTTCATAGAAATATCATCGGAATCCAATAGAAATATCATGGACATCCCAAAGAAATCCCATAGAAATATCATAGAAATACCACAGAAACCCCATAGGAATCCAAAGGAAATAAATCCCATAGACATCCTTTTGAAACCCCATAGGAATCCTACAGAACTACCATAGACACACCTTTAGAAACACCATAGAATATTATAGAAACACCATAGAAAATACATAGAGTTTCCATAGAAACCTTGCAGAAAACCCATAGAAACACGATAGAAATCGAGGAGAGGATGCCAGGAGAATTGAACTAAGTAAGGGACAAATGCTATAGCAAAGGAAAGGAGAAACTGATTTTGGAAAAAATCACGTCAAAAAAACTGGACACAATAGAGGACCCCCACAACAAACATACTATTGAAGATCAACGTTGCTCATGGGCTACCCCCTTGAAAAATTGTTTGAGTGCTGTTTTTTTAGTGGTGTTGTAGTAAGACCTCCTACATTTTGGGAAATGGGTCATTTTGAGAATTCCAAAAGAATGGAGCTAAGAAAGGGGAAAAAAAAACAAAGGAAAGGAACAGGAAAGGAGAGACGGATTTTGGAAAACAGCACGTCAAAAAAAACTGGACACAACAGAGGACCCCCACAACACACATACTATTGAAAATCAATGCTGCTCATGGGCTACCCCCCTTGTTTTTTTTTTGGGGGGTGCTGTTTTTTAACGGTGTTTTAATAAGGCATCCTATATTTTTGAGAAATTAGTCATTTTGAGAATTCCAAAAGAATGGAACTAAGAAAGTAAAAAGAGAACAATTTTAGCAAAGGAAAGGGAAAGGAAAGGAGATGAGGATTTTGGAAAAAAACACTTCAAAAAAATTGCACGCAATAGAGGACCAACACAACAAACATACTATTGAAGATCAGGGCTGCACATGGGCTACCCCCTTGAAAAATTGTTTGAGTGCTGTTTTTTAATGCTTTTATTTTAATAAGTCATCCTATATTTTGAGAAGTTAGTCATTTTGAGAATTCCAAAAGAATGGAGCTAAGAAAGTAAAAAGAGAAAGAAAAACTTTAGCAAAGGAAAGGAACAGGAAAGGAGAGAAGGATTTTTTCAAAAATAACGCAAAAAAACTGGACACAATAGAGGACCCCCACAACAAACATAATATTGAAAATCAATGCTGCTCATGGGCTACCCCCTTGAAAAATTGTTTGAGTGCTGTTTTTAAAGTTTTTTTTTTAAAAAATAAGTCATCCTATCTTTTGAGAAATTAGACATTTTGAAAATTCCAAAAGAATGGGGCTAAGAAAGTAAAAAGAGAAAGAAAAACTTTAGCAAAGGAAAGGAACAGGAAAGGAGAGAAGGATTTTTTCAAAAATAACGCCAAAAAAAACTGGACACAACAGAGGACCCCCACAACACACATACTATTGAAAATCAATGCTGCTCATGGGCTACCCCCCTTGTTTTTTTTTGGGGGGTGCTGTTTTTTAACGGTGTTTTAATAAGGCATCCTATATTTTTGAGAAATTAGTCATTTTGAGAATTCCAAAAGAATGGAACTAAGAAAGTAAAAAGAGAACAATTTTAGCAAAGGAAAGGGAAAGGAAAGGAGAGGAGGATTTTGGAAAAAAACACTTCAAAAAAATTGCACGCAATAGAGGACCAACACAACAAACATACTATTGAAGATCAGGGCTGCACATGGGCTACCCCCTTGAAAAATTGTTTGAGTGCTGTTTCTTAATGCTTTTATTTTAATAAGTCATCCTATATTTTGAGAAATTAGTCATTTTGAGAATTCCAAAAGAATGGAGCTAAGAAAGTAAAAAGAGAAAGAAAAACTTTAGCAAAGGAAAGGAACAGGAAAGGAGAGAAGGATTTTTTCAAAAATAACGCAAAAAAAACTGGACACAATAGAGGACCCCCACAACAAACATAATATTGAAAATCAATGCTGCTCATGGGCTACCCCCTTGAAAAATTGTTTGAGTGCTGTTTTTAATGTTTTTTTTAAAAAATAAGTCATCCTATCTTTTGAGAAATTAGACATTTTGAAAATTCCAAAAGAATGGAGCTAAGAAAGTAAAAAGAGAAAGAAAAACTTTAGCAAAGGAAAGGAACAGGAAAGGAGAGAAGGATTTTTTTAAAAATAACGCCAAAAAAAACTGGACACAATAGAGGACCCCCACAACAAACATAATATTGAATATCAATGCTGCTCATGGGCTACCCCCTTGAAAAATTGTTTGAGTGCTGTTTTATAACGGTGTTTTTATAAGTCATCCTATTTTTTGAGAAATTAGTCATTTTGAGAATTCCAAAAGAATGGAGCTAAGAAAGTAAAAAGAGAAAAAAACAATTTAGCAAAGGAAAGGAAAAGGAAAGGAGAGGAGGATTTTGGAAAAAAAACACTTCAAAAAAATTGCACACAATAGAGGACCAACACAACAAACATACTATTGAAGATCAGGGCTGCACATGGACTACCCCCTTGAAAAATTGTTTGGGTGTTTTTTTGATTGGGTTTTAATAAGGCATCCTATAACCATTTTTTTGGTATGTTCAAAAACAGGTTGCAGGTATTCATTAAATAATTGATTAATTATTTGAAATAAAATGAAAAAACACCAAAAGTGGAAAACATAAACCAAAAAAACTGAACAACAAAAAAGGCATCAGAAAAAACTGGCACAATAGTGGACTCCCCAACAATTCCACTGAGCCAGACTTATTTTGGGAAAACTTGACACAATAGTAGATCCTCATACTAATCGGCATACAACATCATATTAACATATTAACTATATAGATATATACCGGATAAAAATCAACCCACATCAACCAGAACGAACGTTTGCGCGACAAGGTCTGCAGAAACGCTTCCTGCAGCCTTCGTCCATCGTCGCCGTGCTGAACCGCACGCTGGACGCGGGGGACGTCCAGCGGGAGGTGCCGCCCATCGCGGCAACGCAGCTGGACCTGTTGGCCACGGATACGGAGCCACGGCCGGCCCAAAGGGTGGGGGAATGGAGATTTGAACCAGGGGAAATCTAGAGAAAAGATGAGACAAACCTGGTTTTAGATGGGAATTATATGGATTCTATTGGGTTTGAATGGTTGATTTATTGAGTTTCAATGGGTGACTTACTAGGATTTGATTATTGAATTTTGATGGGATATAATGGAATGTAATGGGATAATATATATATATACATAAGCCAACTCTAGTGAAAAGTTGTATTGCCCTCCACTAAAACATGGCTGGTTGTGAGGTTGTGAAATTCCCGAACTAAAATCTGCACTGAAATTGCAAAATCATCGAGCTTTATTTGGGGGATTCTACATTGCCATGTTTGATTACCAGAGGGTAACGGTCCAAAATCGCAATGGAATCACCAAAAATGGTGGTTGGTTAGAACTCAAAATGTCGGTGTAACCAACAACTTTGCGTATTTAACCAACAACTTTGAGTATGTCACCAACGGAGATTGGTATTTAGCAACCAATTTTTGGGTATTCAATCAGGGGCTTCAACCAATATCAATCTTCAATAGATTGAGAATATACAGAGCTATCTCAGCGGGTTTTTGCTTGGTGGATTCGTTCCACCAACCAGGCTGGGATGTGTTTTTTTTTTCACGTGCTGGCTGGAAAATCCTCTATGTATGCCTTAGCATTGAAGTAAACAAATCCAAACAACATAACTTGCATGCCCATGCCATTTTCCTGCATTGCAACATGATGAAACATATGTTTTTCGGATCGCATGGGTCAAAATTGAAGAGCCAGGGGACTGCAGATTTCAGTGTATTTTTTTTGGTATCAACTATCCTATTCCCAATTTTTCGACACATTCCCATATGGTGGTTTCCTAAATGGTGAACCCTGAAATCATCCAACATGGACCATTTTGATGGTTCAGCTCCATTTTCAGACACACTCACCTATCATATTGTTTCTTATGTTTCCAATGTTATCCAATTATAGCCTTGTTATTTTCACATAAGCTGGGCAAATCACCATTGAGTCATCGTCAAATCACCATTGTCCCCTTTTCAGACACATCCAAATTGAGTTAGTTATATATCCCGTACCCATTTCAAATAGAATTGTTGGTTACATTCCTATTATATGTCCATGTTGAAGGCAAGTCCCCATTGTTCAGACAAACCTAATCAGTCAAAACCCCATTCAGATGTTTAAATTCCTCACTTCCTTTAAATACCCATTATATCCCCATCATATATCCATTTTGTACCCATTTTAAAGCAACCCTGAATAAGATAGAAACGTGGGAAACCTGGAAATATGACGTAAAAATCATCTATAACATCCTGGAAAATGATGGTTAGTAGGGGTAACTATCCCCAAAAAGCCTTATCTATATTTCTTCAGATTATTTATGTATTTGTATGTATCTATCATACTATATTTCCATCATACACATATTATATAATTATCCATCAAAGTCCCACAGAGATGCTATAATACATAACATGCTATAATACTACATATAAGATTATATAAGTATATGCTCAATAATAAAATGTTCCATCTATATCCACTGTACATATATATATATATATATGTATATGTACATTGTGGAATGTCCACAATTGGTAGGGAAACCAAGATGCAACCAGCAGTGGAACAGTGAATAGAGGCCCCCGGCCTTCCAAAATGATCTGTAAGATCCCGAAGTAAATGTTGGATGTCCCCTGAACAATTGTAGTATTGCCAGCCACAGCAAAAGTATGTTCCTACCCACACCGATGGGTTCCAAACCTATGGCTCGGCCAATGCACGCCCCGTGCAACACCTTTTACGGTCTTCGCCGCGAATCAAACCCCCTCTTGGGCCTGGAAAATGGCGGCCACGATCGTCGGACATGCTGGTGCACGTAGGCAAGACTGGAACACATGCGGCTGCATGTCAAGTCTAAAACCCCCCTGGCAAGGTAGTGTCGGGCAATGTTGAGAAATCACAGTACACACACACACATATATATATATGTATATATATATATATGTATATATATATATATGTATATATATATATATGTATATATATATATATGTATATATATATATGTATATATGTCTTTGTACATATATACATATGTACATCCGTTATATATATATATATATCCATTATATATATATGTATATGTATATCCAACATAATATATATATATATATCCAGTATATATATATATATCCGTTATATACATTTATGTAGCAGGGACCTTTGGGGTCTATTTCGTTCTTTTGCTCGATCATTTATATATATATATATATTTGCATCCAACCATTATATATATATACATCCATCCATTATATATATACACATCCATTATATATACACATCCATTGTATGTATATATACATATAAATTCATCCATAATGTATATATATATATATAACATTATCCAGTATCCAATCCATCTCTACATAATATGATATTTTCTACTAATTGTATCCCACTTATATTAGTACATAATATATCCCACTAATGTCATATCCCACTTATATAAGATAATATAATATTCTGCATAATATATTACAGTACATCTCCATTTCTTTGATTCCCATGCTATTTTTGTTGGCCTGAGATCCGGATCTCAGGATGGCCTGGACTACGACCTCTGGCGCGCCATGTGCGGACGCCTCCGACCCCGCGTGGCGCTGCTGGAAGCCTTGGGACGAACGGTCCAACGGAAAGTGGTGCTGTTGATGCAGCGCTGTGGATATGAGTGACTTGGTATGTGCTTGATATTGGATCTAGTCTATGATATATGTATGGTAAATGTATGGTATATAATAGATGTATAATATTGTATAATAGTTTTGATATTGCTTATAATTAAAATAGATGTATGGTATATCATGGCATGGTATATGATGTATAGCATTGCAGGCAGTAGGGGGGCATGAATTTTCACCGGCCCGCGTAGCACCGCATAGCACCGCATAGCGCCGCATAGCCCCGCATAGCACCGCATAACACCGCATAGCGCCGCATAGCGCCGCATAGCGCCGCATAGCGCCGCATAGCGCCGCATAGCACCGCATAGCACCGCATAACACCGCATAGCACCGCATAGCCCCGCATAGCCCCGCATAGCACCGCATAGCGCCGCATAGCCCCGCATAGCGCCGCATAGCGCCGCATAGCGCCGCATAGCGCCGCATAGCGCCGCATAGCGCCGCACAGCGCCGCATAGCGCCGCATAACACCGCATAGCACCGCATAGCCCCGCATAGCCCCGCATAGCGCCGCATAGCCCCGCATAGCGCCGCATAGCGCCGCATAGCGCCGCATAGCGCCGCATAGCGCCGCATAGCACCGCATAGCGCCGCATAGCACCGCATAGCACCGCATAGCACCGCATAGCGCCGCATAGCACCGCATAGCACCGCATAGCACCGCATAGCACCGCATAACACCGCATAGCACCGCATAGCACCGCATAGCCCCGCATAGCACCGCATAGCGCCGCATAGCCCCGCATAGCACCGCATAGCGCCGCATAGCACCGCATAGCACCGCATAGCACCGCATAGCACCGCAAGGCGCAATACGAAGATACATTGCGCTACGCAGCGCTACGCAGCGCTACGCAGCGCTACGCAGCCCACATGCAAGCTACGCAGCGCTACGCAGCGCTACACAGCACTACGCAGCCGTACGCAGCACTACGCAGCGCTACGCAGCGCCACGCAGCGCTACGCAGCGCTACGCAGGCCTCAAAAATTTCGACCCCGCCTGTCGCCAACACTTATAGATAGCTATATGTAGCTGATTGTAGCTATATGATATATAGCTATGATATATAGCTATATATATGATATGATATATAGCTGTGATATATACATGTGATGTATATACATATACACTTTTGTTTTATAGCTATAATATGGTATGATATATCATATTATCTAGTATAATATGGAACCAAATCCGGAGTTTTTGTCTCTTTTCTCCCTGAACTCGTCTACCGCTTTATATCTATGTGGGGTAGTGATTTGTCTGCTGGGCCCACTGAAGAGTCTGATGAGATGTCTGGCAGAAGAGCCCCAGTGTGATGCATTTCGCTTCGCTTGAAGATTATGGGAACAAATCTAAGCGTGATGGTCTATCATCTTGCATGTTCCATTGAAACGGCCAAAACATGGAGGTGTACAGGTGGTGCCAGAATTATAGAACGGAGCCAGGAGTACAAAAGTACGGTAAAATACCGTACCTTTGTACTCCTCCGGGTTCCGATTCCGCGCGGAGTCGGGAAATTTAATTATAGAACGGGGATCCGTTCTATAATTAAATTTCCCCGTTCTATAATTAAATTACTCCTGGCTCCGATCTATAATTTCTGGCACTGACATGATATTTACTGCATATTTGTACATATACAATCTATAAAATGAAGATAAAATGAGGATTTAATGAGGATTTGATGAGGAAATGAAGAAAAAATGCAGATAAAATGAAGATTTGATGAGGAAACGAGGATAAAATGAGGATAAAATGAGGATAAAATGAAGATAAAATGAGGATTTGATGAGGAAATGATGATAAAATAAAGATAAAATGAAAATAACATGAGGATTTAATCAGGATTTAATGAGGATTTGATGAGAAAATGAGGATGAAATGAAGATAAAATGAGGATTTGATGAGGAAATGATAATAAAACGCGGATAAAATGAGGATAAAATGAAGATTTAATGGGGATTTGATGCGGAAATGAGGATAAAATGAAGATTTAATGAGGATTTAATGAGGATTTGATCAGGAAATGAAGATAAAATGATGATAAAATGAGGATTTGATGAGATAACGAGGATAAAATGAGGATAACATGAGGATAATGGGAAATGTGGGAAAAATGGGGGAAAACAGAATTATAGAACAACAGCGCTCCGACAAGAATTATAGAACGACGAAAAAAGTTAGGAGTAAATTCAGATACTTCCCCACCTGCCAGGTGAGGGTTGTTAGATTTTATGTCAGTTGCCTCCTCCTCCTCCTTCTCCTCCTTCTCCTCCTCCTTCTCCTCCTCCTCCTCTCGTTGTCCTCCTCGTCCTCCTGCTCAACTGCGACTCGCGATCCACAGTGTTCTCTGCCGGACCTCCACCACGACCATCCACGCCCAGTGTTCCCTGCCGGACCTCAACCACGACCATCCACGCCCAGTGTTCCCTGCCGGACCTCAACCACGACCAGCCACGCCCAGTGTTCCCTGCCGGACCTCAACCACGACCAGCCACGCCCAGTGTTCCCTGCCGGACCTCATCTGCGAGTATCCATGCCAAGTGTTCCCTGCCGGACCTCATCCACGCCCAGTGTTCCCTGCCGGACCTCAACCGCGAGTATCCACGCCAAGTGTTCCCTGCCGGACCTCATGTAGGAAGATATGGGACAAGAATGTGGCAGAAGAAAGTTAGAAAGAATGTCAGAAAGAAGTCCAGAAGATATGCCAGAAAATAGCCAATAGAATGCCAAAATAAATCCAGATAGAATGCCAGAAGATATGTCAGAATATATGCCAGAAGATATGCCAGATAGAATGCCAGATGTTTTCCAATATGCCAGAAGATATGCCAGATAGAATGCCAGATGGAATGCCAGAAGATATGCCAGAAGAGATATGCCAGAAGATATGCCAGAAGATATGCCAGAAGATATGCCTGCAAGAAGATATGCCAGGTAGAATGCCAGAAGATATGCCAGATAGAATGCCAGATCGAATGCCAGAAAATATGTCAGATAGAATGCCAGAAGATTTGCCAGTAACAAAATGTATAAATGTCATGGTGGGGATCACACGAAGTAAAGTAATTTTTTTTTTCACACTTCCGAGGAAAACAGAATTATAGAACAACAGGGTACGGTAAATAACCGTACCTTCGTACTCCTCAACTTCCGTTCTATAATTCTGTTTTCCCCCATTTTTCCCACATTTACCAGGTGATTTTCTTAGATTTCATGGTGATTTCATAAGATTTCACGGTGATTTTATGGGATTTCATGGTAATTTTATGGGATTTCACAGTGATTTTCTTAGATTTCATGGTGATTTTGTAGGATTTCTGGGACCCCGGAAGAGGTTCTATAATTCTATAATTAATGTTTCCGTTCTATAATTAATTTTTCCGTTCGACGGAAAAATTAATTATAGAACGGGGCCCGGGAAACATTAATTATAGAACGAAAATGGGAAATGTGAGAAAAATGGGGGAAAACAGAATTATAGAACAGCAGCGCTCCGACAAGAATGATAGAACGACGAAAAAAGTTAGGAGTAAATTCAGATACTTCCCCACCTGCCACGTGAGGGTTGTTAGATTTTATGTCAGTTGCCTGCTCCTCCTCTCCTCCTCTCCTCCTCTCCTCTCCTCTCCTCCTCTCCCTCTCCTCCTCCTCCTGCTCAACCGCGACCCTCGACGCACAGTGTTCTCTGTCGGACCTCAACCACGACCATCCACGCCCAGTGTTCCCTGCCGGACCTCAACCACGACCATCCCCGCCCAGTGTTCCCTGCCGGACCTCAACCACGACCATCCACGCCCAGTGTTCCCTGCCGGACCTCAACCACGACCATCCACGCCCAGTGTTCCCTGCCGGACCTCAACTGCGAGTATCCACGCCAAAAGATATGCCACATAGAATGCCAGAAGATATGCCAGATAGAATGTTAGAAGATATGCCAGATAGAATGCCAGAAGGTATGCCAGATAGAATGCCAGATAGAATGTCAGCTAGAATGCCAGAAGATATGCCAGATAAAGTGCCAGAATGTTTGCCAGATAGAAGGCCAGCAGATTTGCCAGATAATATGCCAGAAGATATGCTAGATAGAATGCCAGATGGAATGCCAGAAAATTTGCCAGATAATATGCCAGAAGATATGCCAGATAGAATGCCAGATGGAATGCCAGAAGATATGCCAGAACATATGCCAGAAGATATGCCAGAAGCCAGAAGATATGCCAGAACATCTGCCAGAAGATATGCCAGACCATCTGCCAGAAGATATGCCAGGTAGAATGCCAGAAGATATGCCAGATAGAATGCCAGATCGAATGCCAGAAAATATGTCAGATAGAATGCCAGAAGATTTGCCAGTAACAAAATGTATAAATGTCATGGTGGGGATCACACGAAGTAAAGTAATTTTTTTTTCACACTTCCGAGGAAAACAGAATTATAGAACAACAGGGTACGGTAAATAACCGTACCTTCGTACTCTTCAACTTCCGTTCTATAATTCCGGCACCGACCATACGATAATTTTGGTCCGATTTGTCTATCTATCATGTACGAAAAAAATTCTTTCCTTTGAATCCACGTCCCAGATCTCCTCCAAGGCTAGTCCACATGGTGCTGCACGATATGTTGTTCCTGCGCCGGGACGTGCTCAAAGGTAGCCGTCCCTGTACATCTTGGGGAGACCATGTGGGCGACCTGGACTTTTTCCTCGTGCGCGAACAGTTGCGGAACCACCTTGCGGCAACTTTTTCCTTCAAGCAAAACCCGAAGAAGTAGCTTGGATTTGCTGAAGATTATTTCTTATTATCCCAATGGGAAATCCACTACTTGGGGATTCAATAGGGCATATACTGTATTTATATATTTGTTTGGGGTTCTGTACACCAATCAAAGGTACCATGCCCTGGTACACCAGGGTTTCCGCTTCGAAGATATGGGCGTCAGTGTTGAGGAGATGGAAAACAAGCTGAAGCCGCCACTGCGGCAACATCTGCCCGGCAACAAAAAAGGCGGAAAAGAAGAGAATTCTGTGGTAAAGCCAAGGATAAACCATCCCCCAAATCACATCAAATCACCATTCTTATGGGATCTGGTTGGCATCCCCATAGGCGGTTTTTTGGTTTATGGCCATTGAATCCCAGGGCATCATTAGGGCGTCAACGACTGATCATAGCCTCAGCTCCTTTGATCAGCAGCTTTGGGGAAACGTCCAAGAGCGAAACGAGGCAATCCAGGTTTTTTTGTGGCTAAGACAATGTCATAAACTTCATAAACCATCCCCCAGTCATCACCATTCCCAAATGGGTGGTTTATTATATATATATGGTTTTACCCACATTATTTCCGAAGCACCATTTTTTGGGATTTGATGTGTTGATGGATTTTGATGGTAGAGCGATTCGTGGTGATTCGTGGTGATTCGTGGCTCGGCTCTTTTGGGCAATGTCTAACAGCGCTGGGCCCCTGGGCACTTCCCACCGGTTCCCAACCACATTTTGGAATTTTCATGGTTTTATTTAAAGTTTTTGGCTACGGCTATGGATTTCTGATGGATTTCTGATGGATTATTTGGGTATTGGCTCGTACAATTTGTGCATTGCCGAGGACTGTTGCTTTGGATTTGGTGGACAATTTCTATCATCGACAGGTGCCGCTCTGGCAAATGTGGTTTCAGAGCCTCTAAATTGGAGGTGGAAAAATCATCTTTAGATAAACATCATCTCCCAAACTCATTTTATTTGGGTTCCATGTGATTTATCCATTGGTGTAGACGTGATTTGAACTTTGAACGATAACATGAAGACCTGCCACCGGGCCCTGGAGGTTGCGACGAGTATTGTGACCTACACCACTTTGATGGACATCACCAGAAAAGCTTGGCAGTGGGAGTTCCTTGGTGATGTCCATCTTCATCATGGTGTATATCTGGTGATATCATGGCATATTTATACATCAATGGCAATAGAATATGAATAGAATGGGATTTTTTTTTGAGGATCCATGGAGGATCCCACGAATCGTAGATGGTGAGTTGAAGCCCATGAATTATCCATTGGATCAGCCTTAGTTGATCGGGGACCAACCGGTTACGATCCGTGGAATGATCCTCCAAGTACTCGCATATCGCAGGATGAAACATGTCTGAAATAGGAGGATCCAATATGGGAATGAGTCAATACCTATGTTTTTCCATGAATTTGGGGGAATGAACCAGGCACCATCTACCAGCTGTTTTGATGCAAACTACAACAAAGTTTGATCCACAGCCACTTGACGCGAGACAGTTGCAACTGTATAACTCCCAGGATTCTCACTGAGGTTGCTTGTTCGAAAACATGGTTCTTGGCCTGTTGGCCCACTTTGTGAGACAAGAATCGGTTAAACAACACTTTTCCATATTGTGAATGTGCCTGAAAATTGTGTATATGTCTCCAAATGACAACTTTGATGGGCAAAATATGGGAATGTGATGATTCAGCAGTGAATTTAGGGCTACCTTATTCTCAGACAAACCTGTGTGTATGTGTGTGTTGAGCACTTCAAGTTCCTGAACACAGGCTGGTGAAAACCAGAGGCTTCCCAGTTGAGTCCAGTTGAGTCAGGTATACCCTTCACATCTTCAATGATCTCCGCAGAAGACAAGTGGAGGCTGGGCACCCCCAAAAAAGAATCGAAAAGTGGTTGAAAAGTGGGAAACCTGGAAATATGTAGAAAATCTATGAAAATCTTGTCTATCACCACCTGGAAACACATTTTTCGGCATTTTTTTTGGGCTAAAAAGAGCTGAGATCTCGAGATCTCGTGCAGATTCTGTTTTCCGAACATGGAGCTTTTGCGAAGGTCAACAAACAGGGGTTGTTACATGTACCATGTTGGAGATGTTGAATGATTTTGAACACACTTCCAAATGTTTCTTGGGATATCATCCATCAGAAGGCTCGGGTGATGTTTGCTTTAGGATGCTTTAAGAACATTTCTTTAAGCCTGGAAGGTGTAGAGTGGATAGCAGTGGATACGATTTACGAGTGATTTCTACTGATTTGAGCAGTGGTTGCTAAAACCAATAGTTGGTTGATGGCTCGGAGGTTATACTACCCATATATATATAATATTATATTGTTTATATATATATATATCTTAGACGTAGCCCCATTTTTATAGGGCTTATCTCCCTTAAAGAGTTACTGTTTGAGGTGATTCCTAATATATGTAATATATATATATATTGATATTGGGGATGATCACAATATACGAACTGGGAAAACCAATGTGACGTTCTTAACCAAGCAGTACGATGGGACGACAATCGCAAAATGTCAGGAGTGATTGAGTAAATCGTTCTGTACTGGCCAGGGCGTGGTTGGGGGTAGTTGCCGAGTGACATCATCATGCTATCTGTGCTAAGCCATGACAGCCGCTATCCCATCCCAGAAAATACTGGTAAATAGGCATTCTGAATTCCCATTAAGGATTATAACCACTATGCCAGATTTTCAGATAGATTAAGCCCCCATATTAGAAGCAATCAACCCTCAACCCATCAGGAGGGGGTTGAGTCACGCAATCGTGACCCAATGGGCTGATCATCACCTTTCCCACAACAAAAACACATTTGAGGTACCCTCCATTCTCGGGCACACATCAGTGGAGGGTGAACTGGACTGATGTAGATGGCTATAAAAATTATCATTGTATATATAAATCTTGGATAAATAAATAAATATATATATATATATATATATCATTTTTGTTTTCTTTTTTTGTCGTAAAGTTATGGCCAACGCGTTGTTGATGGTTAACACAGCATTGTTGGTTATAACCACCATTGTTAAGCATTATCGACCATTAAAATCCACCCATTTCTATATCCCAATACTGATCTGCTGAAGCACCATTTATTTGGGGAAACATTTACCCTCCAGTGAATTAACAGTTCGACCCTGCCATTCATCGGGGAAGACTAGTGAAACCACTATAAATGGGTCATTTTCAGGGTCAAACTGTGAATTTACCAGAGGGTAACAGTTGAATAACCAGATGAGACTTAGATGTGGGACACCAGATCATTCCCCTGTTGGGTGGAAACCCCATGCCATTAGGCTTTTCCAGGAATCTATTCCCATCATCCAAGAAACAACAGCATGAGTTTTTGGTCCATAGATCACCATGATTTAATTGTTACATAACCAGAAAAAATGATGGTTTTCCACATCTATTCTCCAGCTAAATTCCCCAGAAATCCCCAGATTGCGCGGGGGCATAGCTGGCCAGACCCCAATTTCAATCGGCCAGGCAGATGGCCGAGCTTGCAGCTCTGTCATCATGTCCATCGCCAATGCCAAGCAGTGCCCAGGGGGGGATGTCGTGGATTTTAACCATGAAAAAACAGTTAATCTGAGAGGTTTTAGTGGACTTTAACATACTTTAACCATGAAGAAATGGGGGAGTTCACCAATAAAAGTTGAGATTTTCCCAATCAACAGTGGGTTTAGACCATGAACGACTGGGGATTCAAAGACCTCATTCATGTGATTTAACTGCATTACAATGGTTACAGCCACTGGATATGTGAATCAGAATGGCAAGTGGTGAATATAACGCATACTGATAGAAATAAGTCATGAATTTAACTGGGGATGTAGTCTCACTGGGTCATCTCGCAAAAAGCTTACTAGCCACTTATATAACATTATATCATGCATTTTCAAGGTGATGGAAATTTCGGGCTCATCAGTCGTCCCAACTGCACAGCCCGGTTCCGCCAGGAAAACACTCCCTTAACCAATGGGCCAAATCCAACGCCCCTTAGAAAGGCCAGGTTCCACCAACTAGTGGGTTATTTAAGCATTGGGGCCCTGGGGCCCATCAATTCCCTAGCTTTTTTTTTTTCGATCCTGGCCTGCACCCCCAAGTAGGTTTTATATATCCCATGATATCCCCATCAAATGCCATTAAGTTGCCATAGAAATAGATGATTTACCTTTTAAACATGGTGATTTTCCATACAAGGTGGCCCCCCAATTAAAAGTTGGTTGATAAGCCCCATTGACTATAGTTATATCTTCCATAAACCCAAGCGTTATATAACCAAGTGAACTGTGCGCCAACTTAGCTATCATAAATCAGCCATAACCCCCATTCATGTGGGTAAAGCAATGCCATTTGCACCATCCCCCAGTCATCACCATTTTTATAGGTGGTATGGCTACCATTCACAGTCATGGGGGGTAACAATGACATTGTTTTACCCACATTATAACATTCCACTACAATATTACCATATACCCAGTATATAATATTCCATTATATATTTATAGATTATTCAAAAAAAACATAGATTTACCATATAATATTCCATTATATACCCAGTATATATTAATATGCACCACCTATTACTATAGATTTAGATTATAAAAAAAAAAACATAGATTTACCGCTTGAAATCCATGGAAGCCACCATTTTCCGTTGAAACCAACGGGGCCGCAGGGCCCCACCGTGGAACTAGCTACATGTCGCTACGGTGAGTGGCAAACGCCCATGGAAATCACATGGAAATCACATGGGAAAAGAAAGGCTGAAATCTGTGAAAATCTCTACATGGTATAGAAGCTGAGATAGATGATGATATATGATGATATATGATGATATATAATATATCATCTATATCATCTATATAATGATATACGTAGGTAGACAGTGAAGACACAAACACAGGCGGTGTCTGTCAAACGGCGCATTTTCCGGATCTGGTTCTGGTGGATCAAGGGATCTTGGTCCAGTCCTACTCATTGGACTTATCCATAGACAAAGCCATATCCAAATAATGGAACATATGGGAACTATCATAAGATCACAACTGACATCATAGATCTGATTTAGAGATGTACAATTCAACTTTATAAACCTGCAATTCATGGACCTGCAGCAGTAGTTTGATACAATCGGGTTTACACAGTTCACAACTTCATGGAGATGGCATAGATCTCATAATTTCGATAACTCTCAGGTTATAGTCGTAGATAATTTGATATTCATGCATACATAATTGTAGATAGTTATCTACATATACATCTGGATATTCACAATGTTGCCCCCCCCACTTATGATTGTTGTTGCTTTCTAAACCCCATGAATACTATAGTTCTAAGTACCATAAACCATCATAAACCATAGTGAGATGGGAGTTATGTGGCCCCCGACTTCGCGATTTCATCAACGGCCCCGCATTGGACGACTTTAGGTGGCCCTCAGCCTTTGCTCTGATGGAGCAGCTCGAGGAGTTTAGCCGGTTGGCGTCAGATTTTAGTTTCGCAACAACTGATGAAGGGTGGTTTAGCGTCAACTTAAATGGAAGTTTAACCTTGATCTCATATGTTCTAGTCAAATGGAGGTTTAAGCAATCTATAACATGTTCTATTTAGCATAAAATGGCCGAAAGTAATCGAAGAATTGGAGGAATTTAGGCCAACATGTCTGGTTTTAATGGGGATATAAGCAGCAATTCTGGTAAAAGCCAACTGGATGAGTGCCTGGATGTTGGTGGGACGTTGACATCTTCATGGCACAAGCAAGGAGAGAACATTGTTTTTCATTTTTGGGAAGTGTCACAAAGATCTGAGGGTTTTTATAAGATGTCACTAGTGGATTGGAGAATGACTCAGCCACTACACTTATGGCCCGAAATAGCAGTTATAAGTTATAAGCCAGTGAAATCGCCCCATTTATGGAATGATCCCCCCATTTATAACCATACAAATAAGAGCAAATTTGGGCTTTAACTCTATCTTCATGATCCTTTTGGCAAGTCCGTTTCAATGGTGGAGCTAACTTTCATGCTGGCACAGGAGCGAAGGGTGGAGGTGGACTACTCTACTGGTTGCTTGGAGAATTCCCCAGAATACCGTCCCATTGTGGGACATACAGCAGATCCAATACATGGCACTGAGTGAGTTTTGGGATAGTGACGGATAGTGCGTGCCTCGCCGAGCAACGAAGATCCAGTTGACAATGACCGGATTTCACACTGCTAACGGAGCTACAAATTGTAACCGTGACGCGACTGAAATAAGCTACATGGAAGCCAAACATTGGCCGTATCCAATAGAACAAAAATCATCCAACCACAATCAGTGGGGTCCATGCAATTTGTGTAACCATTGCCACTGTGGATGCTTTGCCAATTCACCAGCTGTTTATCTGGAAGACCGTGGGAAGTATTCGGAAGCATGATATTTCTTGGCCATTTCTAGGAAATCATCCATTCCCAGAATCTACCACATTTCAGTGAACATGGCACAAAATGGAAGCTAGCCTGAGAACACCTTCTAGCTAGCCTTTCTGGAAAGTCTCTCTCCCCCAGAAACATGCAAAAGGAAACATGTCCTCGGAGCTAGGAAACCGCAACGGAAATTCTCATGTCGCTAGCGTCGCTAGCCATCATCCATGGAGGGACCGTCACAGAATCCTCCAGGCTATCAAGTGGTGCTGGACGCCTACATGTCATCCATCTCCTGAGTGTAGCGATCAGCTCTCGCAGAGACAGCCTGGCAGCCAGTTGGCCGAACAAAATCTGGTAGCTCGGTCCTGAAAAGGCTTGAAGGGTTGGGCAGGACTGCCCATCTCAGAATGGTATGAATCGATATGGTTGAGACCTGCAAAAAGAATGGGGCTTGTTCAATCCTTACACCATCCCTGGCTGGTCGGAATCGTAGAGTAGTGCTTCGTAAGCACTGCTAGTGAGGGAACAGCCGTTAGCTTCACGTTATCAAAGATGAGAACCAAGAATCACCACTGTTTATCTGATGTTTATCAGAAAATTCAGCATCTGTCAATATCTGTCAGCTATTCCATGGGCGTTCCGTTCTTCCATGGGCCCGCCCAAGGCCCTCACCAGCGCGTCGTCCCACACCTTGGACCACGCCTTTGATGGAGATGGCCGCCAGGACGTGGTGAAGACAAAGACGTGCGGAAGATGGCTGAAGCATGAAGCTGGTGGTTGGCTGGGGTGACTGTAGATGATGTAGATGGCTGCGGCGCACTGCGGCGCACTGCGGCGCACTGCGGGGACATTTTCGGAGCAGAAGTTTGTGTCTGTTGTAAACAGCGAGATCTCTTCGATCCTTGAGGTGTGGCACTGGTGATGAAGGTCACTATTTTCACCATGAAAAAGCACTGATTTGGATGAGCCGCGCCATGCCAGCACGACAGCTGGCCGCATCCCAGATATTCCATGATATTCCACTTGTGGTGAGACGACCGCAGCTGGGGCATGTTGCCCAGGAGCGGTGGAACGCTGTGAGTGGAGGAAAACCACCCGACGGCGAAGCCATCGTGCCATGGTTTTTTCACCAGAAAGGGACGGGACATGGAGGCCCCATTTTTACGGTATTTTGGACAAGTCAACGTAAAAATGGGGCCTCCACAGCGTCCCACTATCTTTTTCACGATGATGATGATGATGATGATGATGGTGATGGTGATGGTGATGGTGATGATGGTGATGATGATGTAGTACATTTTACTGGTATGTGTCATCTTATGATATTCTAGGTTCTAAGACTCTAAGATTTAATGAGAATACATATCTTACTGGTGGTGGGGTAAAAGTTATGGTTCGACACTAAAGCAACCAAATCTATGGACCCTTCGGTGCACAGATTGCATTTTCTATTCTGTGGCTTTGGCTCAAGGCCCAAGTCAGTCAAGAAGATTCTTGGAAGCGCAACGCTTCATTGCAATAGGTTTTTCCATCCGAAAATGGCATGTGCCTTCCGCTGTCTCCAGGCATCTGTGTTCTACCGCACTTCCACAGCCATGAAAGAGAAGAGCGAGGCCGTGTGCAGGTCAGGCGACACCTTCTTTGGCAAGTACCTGACCGAACAGGAGGATGGGTCCCAGTGGCTGTCCAACGAGTCCAACGAATTGTTCCTGCCACTGGTGCACCCTGAGACAAAGGAGAAGATGTTTGTGGAGGTGCGCTACAGATGCACCTTCGATGGAGCTGTGCAGGCGAGGAACAGCCCAGAAGCCTCTGATATCTCCAGTGATTCTGAGCGCTACGTGAGGATGGGCGAGATCATTTCGGCCTTGCCAGTGCCTGAGCAGCCAGGGTGGTTGATTGAAGCCGAGAGCAAGCTTTACTATCCCATGAACCACCAAGAAACCGGAGATGTCATCTTCAAAGAGAAGACAGAGATGGATGCTTCCACACGCACTTTCGCCGCGGAGGCAACTATTGGTTGTATTGGCAGCCAGATTGTGTTTACGGTGTTAGTGTTTTCCAAATGGGGAACTGACGGGTGGCCGTTTGTTGTGAGCGCCTTGGGTGGGCTGATCATTTGCGTAGCTTTGGTGAATTCCCGTCGACGGAAGGACTGACCCGGGACGACGAATGCATTCGCCCATCAGCGCCTATCGCTCACACGTAGCAACTCTGATTTTAAGATATTTTAAGTTTTAAATGTTACTTTGTGCCACCACCGCAAGCAACGGAAGTCCAAGGAGGAAAACACTCATTTGTGCCTTTTTGCTTCTTGGTTCTTGATAGACCTATACTTCACTCTCAGTACTCATGTTTGAACTGCAGGTTTGCTCAGCTTTGTGATGGCTGCCCGGCAAAATTCTGATCAACACATATCAACACATATCATCTTTCGGCAATGCTCCGACGATTCAAGATTTCCTTTGTTTTCAAGCTGTTTGTAGTTGAAAAACAGTACAGTATTTTTTTGGGGGGGATTTTCCCGCTAGCCGTGTTTGAGTAGTTTGAGTACCGAGGGTAACAAAAATTCAGCAGTTAAAGAATCATACATATTAGCATAATATATTATAATATATTAGCATACGATTTTAATGCAACATGTCTTCCATTCGGAATGGCGTGGTGGTACATATTAGATCATATTAGATCATTATTAGATTATTAGATCATATTAGATCATTGTTAGAATCATACATATTAGATCATATATTTTCAGACTTTGTTCTATTTCTTTCCCAGAAATTTCACTCTCATCTGCCAGGTAGCGGCCTTCTGGGTGATGTTTGTGTTGGACCTGGCCTTGTATGGCCCTTGCCTCAGCTGACCTGTCGGACCTGTCGGACCTGACACGACACGAGGTCGTCGGTTTTGCCTACGGTGATTCAGCGGGGTGAATGAGTCGGTGATCTGGTTAGTGTACCTGATTATAACTGTAATAGTGGATTATAACTATAGAATAACTATATTACAGCTGTATACACTGTAACTATATATATATATATATACCGGTTAACTATATATATATATACCGATACCGGTTATGGATTATAACTATACTACAGACAACTGACTATAGTCATATGAAAGCACATTGACACCCCTATATTATTATAAACCCTATGAGAGCACCAAGCCATTATAGGTGAATCATTGGCCACGTTACGTTCTGACTTCACCATGGAGTCAGGTCCAAAGTCATTACATTCGAACATTGGCGCACAAAGTTTTGAGTTACAGGACGGTCACATTAGAATGGGACAATTATTGGGTTAATAATTGAAACATGGAGGTTTGATGGTAGTTAATAATACACTTATATGGCTTGAATACAGGACCACTTTTAAGGATTTCGCTCAGCATGGTCTCTAGTGTCAGATCTTGTCGAGGTGGTTTCAGGTGGGTAAACTCCACATCGAACTGTAAACGTTCACAGGAGGATCGGGATTTTGAAGCATGAAAGACATCACCAAAATTCACCAGATTGGTACAGAATGTGTTTGTTGTGAGATGATAATTGCTAATCTGGATATGTGAAAACATGTGAAAACAAGATATCTCTAGTCAAGAGCACATTTTTGGGGGGTCGCCCAACCCCCATTCAGTGGTTGGCAGATGGTGGAGAGGCTGGTTTAAGAATCTCTATTCTGTCTCAACTAATTTTTTGGCTGTTCCCCCCTATGTCTCCAAAACATGATATTGTTGGTTATATATATATAAATCCCAAATTCTATTTCATGATCCGCTCCCCATAGAATGGTAGGTTTCATCTCGTTAATATCCCCATGATATCCCCATTATTGTATCCCATTATTATATCCCCATTATTATATCCGATTATATCCTTTATATATATATATACACCCTCCAGTAAATTAACATAGACCCTGGTAGATAGGGGTTGGAAGACTAGTTTCCACTATAAATAGGTCATTTTCAGGGTCTATGTTAATTTACCAGAGGGTATATATTATATTGAATTTATAGTACCATTACCATGATGGTAGGTAGTAGGGAGTAGGGAGTCCCATTTACGGGACTAGGGACTAGGGATAATCGGGATTCATGATGGATTTTTGTACCATACACTTACCACTTAGCCCAGTAGTTGGATATATATAACTATTATAGTGGATATACCACTTATATAGTTTCAGTTTTAATGGGATATTCTAATACCACTTTGTATTCTAATGGCTATTATTACAATGGATATAATGTGGGTAAAACAATAATACACCACCCCATGTTTGATGGTTTATACCACCCATAAACATGGTGATTTTTGGGATGGTGCTTAAATGGCATTGTTTTAACATGTTTTAACTACATTAACCGTAAATAATCATGGTTTCACTCAGTTAAAAACCACCTTCATCCCCCAAAAAAACCGCCAAAAACTGCCGGGCCGAGGTTTCACACTCTGCGCCGACACACGATACTTGGAGGCACTGCCCGGGATGCCGGACAGCTACCCAGATGTGGAGTCCGGCAGCTCGGAGACGGAGCTTGGAAGAAAACCCATGGGGATTTTTTCAGGCGAGTTATTGGAGCTTCACCGTAAGACCGAAGAGTTATTGGATGTTATAAACCTTAGTTATAAACCATATTTAAAACAATTGGAGTTATTGGAGTTAGTTACCGACTTAGAGACTTAGCTGGTTGCTGGTTTCATACAAAAGGGATGATCGGTTCAGATGACGATACGATATTCTTGGGATTGGTTAAACCAGAAACCAGAATAAAAATTAAAACTTCACCAACACCCATATTAATGGGATATACCCTCAGGGTAATTTAACATAGCTATGAACAATCACCATTTTAAAGAGGTAAATCATCGAACTAAATGGGCTTAGTCAACCCATCCCCGAGATCAAGTCTTTTTTTTATCCATAGAAAGAGTCACATCACTGGGGATACATGTATATATATATATCCCATATGAACAAAGCGCGATTCCACAACTACGTTCTCACGATTCCAGAACCAAAACCACGCGATTCCAAAACCGAACCACGCGATTCCCCAACCAAAGCCGGCGCGCTTCCACAACTACATTCTCACGATTCCATAACCACACTCCCACGATTCCACAACCAAAATCTCAGGATTCCACAACCAAACCCCCACGATTCCACAACCAAAACCTCAGGATTCCACAACCAAAATCTCGCGATTCTACAGCTAACAACTATTGATTCCACCAGGAAGACTGCCGCTACTTACTTTCATTGTAGAAAATTCTTGACAAGCTACGAGAAACTTAAATCCCCCACCCCCGCAAAACAATAGATCAAATTTAAGTATTCAGCCAGCAGCCCCGCTTCTTAGGGAAGACTACCGCTACTTACTTTCATTATAGAAGATGCTTGACAAGCTACAAGAAACTTAAAAATCCCCCACCCCCGCAAAACAATAGATCAAATTTAAGTATTCAGCAAGCAGCCCCGCTTCTTAGGGAAGACTACCGCTACTTACTTTCATTATAGAAGATTCTTGACAAGTTACAAGACATTAAAAAATCCCCCACCCCCGCAAAACAATACATCAAATTCAAGTCTTCAGCAAGCAGCCCTGCTTCCTAGGGAAGACTGCCGCTACTTACTTTCATTATAGAAGATTCTTGACAAGTTACAACAAAATCCCCCACCCCCGCAAACCAATAGATCAAATTTAAGTATTCAGCCAGCAGCCCCGCTTCTTAGAAGATGCGACCGGAACTTGGGTTAGAGCAGTTCATGTCTTGGTTTGGTTCAAATCCCTTTTGGTTTTGGAATAACCTGTTTTGGTTATGGAATAATTGTTGGTTGAGGAATCATACGGTTTGGTTACAGAATATTTCGTCTTAGTTGTGGAAAAATCGTTGGTTGAGGAATAACACTTCATGGTTGAAGAATAATACGTTTTAGTTATGGAATGATCCTTGGTTGAGGAATAACACGTTTTGGTTACAGAATAATATGTTTTGGTTATGGAATAATCTGTTGACCTATTCCATATTATATAGCCCTGGAGTCGATAGAATATGGCATTTTCAAAATCCATCCCATCTTGGTTTTCGGTTTTAGAATTTTCACATTCGATGTTCTATCTACATAAGGGATGAGATGATATACAGTACATACATATTAGTCATATGGGGATGGGTCAAAACCCTGGTACCTAGTGAACCCCAAAATAGCTGGTAAATGGATGTTCATCCCACTAAAAATGTATCTATAGGTATTGACCCATACCCATATTAGGTTGTAGCTGCTGGTTACCCACTAAAAATCATTCCCGGGATGGTTTTACCCCCAGCCCCAACTTGGCTGATCGGTACCCAAGTTTTAGCCCCATGATCCACCCATGGTGAACCACGAGATGGCCATTATCATGTGCAATCATGTGCAGTTTCCGTATTTTGCACAAAGTAAACCCTTACACGACCTTAATGTATAATGAAGCTTAGCTATGCCCATCAAACTGATATATTTTTACCTCTTAATATGTTTACCTCTTATATGGTGGCAATTTACATCAATGATTTGATGTATCCTCCAATATACAAATAGATGGGGGTTTAACTCACAATGAACATAGATTATGTTCCCCTATAGATGTTTCTTCCCAGCTATAAACCTCCAAATTTAGGAATGTCCCAGCTTTCCCCTCATTTTCCGAGCATTTTCCCTTGAAAACCTTCATATTTTCCCAAAAAACCATGGCTTTTCCATCTCCGTCGGTTCGTTCAACGCAGCTGTGTTGAGGCCCCGGAAGTGCGACGATTGCGGCACGGAGGTGTCCGAGCCACGCGTTGCTTGGCGACGCGCACCTGCTGTTGATTGCTCACTTGAAGATCACCATGGTGAAATAACTGGTTGGTGGTTTCAAACATGAATTTTATTTTCCATAATATATGGGATAATCCTTCCCATTGACTTTCATATTTTTCAAGATAGTTAAAACCACCAACGAGAATAAGCACTTAGACCTGGAAGGTGGTGTGTTTCCCATCTATTGTAACAGTTGGTAAATAGGTTTCTTTAGCCAACAGCCACAATCATTGGCAAAACACAACTGGAAGGGATTTACTGGGCCCCTATAACTGTATAACTATAGTGATATATGAATCCACTTGTAGTTGAATAGGGATTTTCACCATTAACATATGGGAATCTAGTTGATATTATTGACAAATGTTGGTTATTCTCGGGAATCGTCACTGAATAATGATGTGGAATAACCATTCTAATGGGATTTCAATGAGATTTTAGCTTGAGTTGAACGGGATATAGTGAGGATAGAGTGGGATGTTTTAGCCTACGGACCGAAAACCGTGCTCGTAAAACGCACGTTTTTGGAAATGCCCGGTCGGAGGTTATGTTGGGGTGGGGGGGTGGGGTGGGGTGGGCATGTTAACGTTCTTTGTAGTGCGTACATTAGATGTCACGAAAGGTAGCTCCAGAGGGGCTACCTTGAGTTTTACTTTACGAAGTAAAGGGGAGGGCGGCCAGCCCCGTTACCTGATTCTTCAGGAGATTGCTAGTCATTTTAGTTCCCCCCCCCCTCCACACCTCCCACGCACCCTAAGAGCAGACTCAAAACATTGTAATTTACAGTATTTTTGTTCTTTTCGGATCAAGAAACCACATTTTGCTACAGGGTGAAACCTCCGTAAATACCAGTGTTTTTGCTAGGTGCTGGCCAAAAAATACTGTAAATACCGTGCTTTTTACTACCAGAGGCAAAAAACATCGTAAATACTGTGGTTTTGGGCTTCCGACCCGCCAAAAACATCGGTATTTACGGTGTTTTTTGCTCCGAGAGTTGCAAAAACACGCGAAAACACCACCGATTTGACGATTTTCGGCCACTACGGAACCGAGCAAAAACGCTGCAGGGGTAACACCAACACCAACAACAACAACACCAACAGCAACAGCAACAACAACAACGACGACAACAACAACAACAACACCAACACACAACGCACAATGCACAATGCACAACGCACAACGCACAATGCACAACGCACAACGCACAACGCACAACGCACAACACACAACACACAAAACACACAACACACACACACACAACACACAGAACACACACACAACACACACAACAACACACAACAACACACAACACACACACAACACACAGAACACACACACAACACACACAACAACACACAACAACACACAACAACACACAACAACACACAACAACACACACAACAACACAAACAACACACAACAACACACCACAACACACAACAACACACAACAACACACGCAACACACAACAACGCAACAACACAACAACAACACACAACAACACACAACAACACACAACACACACAACAACACCAACAACACACCAACAACACACCACAACACACCACAACACACACACAACAACACACAACAACACACACAACAACACACAACAACACAGCACAACACACCACAACACAGCACAACACAGCACAACACAGCACAACACAGCACAACACAACAACACACAACAACACACAACAACACACAACAACACACAACAACACACAACAACACACAACAACACACAACAACACACAACAACACACAACAACAAACAACAACAAACAACAACACACAACAACACACAACAACACACAACAACACACAACAACAACAACAACACCATCAACAGCAGCAGCAGCAACAACTGCAACAACAACAGCAACAACAACAACAGCAACAACAACAGCAACAACAACAACAACACGAACACGAACAATACCAACACCAACAACACGACCAACAACACGACCAACAACACCAACACCACCAACAAACCCAACCACACCAACAACACTAACAACACTAACAACACCAGAAACACTACCACCACCAACAACACCAACACCACCAGCACCACCAACACCACCAACACCACAACCACCACCAACCCCAACCACATCGCCGAAGCCTTTCAGTCGCTTTTACCAGCCTCCCCTTCATATTTTTGGAAAGAAAATGGCCGCGTCGCTTTTACCAGACTCCACTTTATGTATTTTTCCCTCCCCTCTCCCCTTCATTTTTTCTTCGGTTCCTTTCTTGCTTACCTACCTTTCGTGTTCCCCCTCTCAAGTTGCTACGTTGCAGAGATCTCTGGTTTCGTTGCTACGTTACATGCTGCTACGCTGCAGAGATCTCTGGTTTCCTTGCTACGCTACATGTTGCTACACTGCAGAGATCTCTGGTTTCCTTGCTACATTACATGTTGCTACGCTGCAGAGATCTCTGTTATCCTTACTACGTTACCTTTGTTGCTACGCTGCAGAGATCTCTGGTATCCTTGCTACGTCACATGTTGCTACGCTGCAGAGATCTCTGGTATCCTTGCTACGTTACATGTTGCTACGCTGCAGAGATCTCTGGTTTCGTTGCGATGTCACATGTTGCTACGCTGCAGAGATCTCTGGTTTCCTTGCTACGTTACATGTTGCTACGCTGCAGAGATCTCTGGTATCCTTGCTACGTCACATGTTTCTACGCTGCAGAGATCTCTGGTTTCGTTGCGACGTCACCATCAAATGCCATACAGGCAGGATTGATGCTGCCTGCACCAGCTGCAAACAATTCATCCCCAACTCTTTGGGTGCCAGGCACAAAGATGTCATGTTGTATGCCAAGATGTGGCAATGGCGATTCAGTAACAAGTACAAGAAGCTGCTTGAGAAACTCCACAGATGCTGCGAAAGATAGAGTGAAAAAGATGCCTGCACTTGTCCAATCGAAATAGACAAGAAAATCACGTTTTACTGTGGCGAAAACACCATTTGCCCAAAAAACACCCAAATTTGGACGTCCAAATTTCCCACTTTTCAAGTGACAACAATGGTTGCCTCGCTGAGGCAAAACACCATTTTTTTGTAAAACTCTATTTTCACGAGCACGGTTTCCGGTCCGGCGGGATGTTTTAGTCGCTGAATAGGGTAGCCTTCAGTTGTACACTCCGGTGTCATCAAACATGGTGATCGTTGGGAAATCCCCGAAGTAAGTTTGGAGGTTTATAGCTGGGACACTCGGAGAAAAGCCATGGTTTCTGGGAGGTGTTTAGTCACTGTATAATATTTTTGGGGGGATGGGTTAGTCACTGAATAAGCTGAATAGGGATTTGAACCATGAAAATATGGGGATATAAGTATAAGTGAATATTGATGAATGATGGTTGGTTGATGACTGGAGATGGCTAGTTTAGTACTCATGAATCAGGGGATATAAACCAAGGACTTATGGTGATTTGACCAATAAAGGATGGATAAGAATTGGATATCATCAAAACCTCCTGGATGGATCGTTTAGTCTTTGATTCTGTGCAATGGGTTGCTTTTTGATGTATATATACTACAAGTAGCTAAAGAAATGCAGGATATCTAAGATTGCGAATGACATGGCTCAATGATTTCAGCTTTGTCAAATATGAGTTCCGAGCCCAAGGGCCCAAGGCTCATCCCGATTCCTGAGATCAAACTGGCAGGTCAAGCACTGCCAGACCTGTGGCTGGTGCATGGAGGCGCCTTGGGATGACCTGGGTCTGTTGATTTTTCAGAAATCCAACATGACTGGGGAAAGTACTTTGGGAAGATGTGTATTTTTTTTGGTGTTTCCTTCAGCAAATCCAAGACTATAGTTGGGAAGAGGATGGAAAAGGATGATCTATGTATATATATATATATACATATATGTGTATATATGTACACATATATGTATATATATATACATATATATACATATATATATACATATACATATATGTATATATATATATGTATATATATATGTATATATATATATGTATATATATATATACGTATATATATGTATATATATATATGTATATATATGTATATATGTATATATATATATATATGTATATATACATATATACATATATATACATATATATATATATACAAATATATATATACACATATATATATGTATATATGTATATATATGTACATATATTTATATGTATGTATATATGTACATATGTATATGTATATATATATATATATGTATTTATATATGTAAATGTATATATGTATATATGTATATATGTATATATGTATATATGTATATGTATATATATATATATATATTGGTTACACCATGTTACACCTGAGCACCAGCATTGGGTGCCCCACAGTTTCTTGAAAATTCATCGAGCCAGCTGTGTGGTGTGTGAACCGTTCGGTCTCCGCTTCGGCTCAACAGAAGTCCGGCAAGGCGTCCCAAGAAGTGCAGAGTTCATCGGATCTGCCAGAAGTCCTTCCATGAAACGGAGAAAATTGCAGTTTTCTGACTTTTTGAACAACAACCTGGAAGTTTGTCGGGCATCACCAGACTATCTACTAGTCATTTCAGCATTCACTGCACTTGCGCTGATGGCTCCTGCACATGATGAGGCGGGGAGAGAATAAGCCTAGCCAATGTCTGTGGCTTCAAAAAGAGATGCTTTTAAAGCATCTCTGTGTAGGTGTATACTCCTAGCATATCCCAGCAAAATAGTGTGAAAATCCAGCCATTTATAGTTGATTTTCCCAGCTATAAACCTCCGTTTATAGTGGATTTCCCATTGCAATGTTTGATCACCGGAGGGTACATTTTTTTTTTTCCGCTGCAGCGAATCCATGAGCACTTTATTATGGTAAAGATTGGTGTAATGTGGGACCCAATGTCCTCTGCATCATCCCCGGGTCGTCATTTTGATGGGTGCAACATGTTTACCATCCCCAGTCATGATAGGATCTTCAGCTACAGGATACCAAAAAGAATACTCCCTTTTTCGCATCCCATATGTTTTTTTTTCGGGCTGGCAGTATTCTGAGTTTATCTAATTATATAAATTCCAAAAATATCTGACAAGTATCTGAGTAATTATCTGAAAGTAGTTCTATGACAAGTGCATCCAAGACATTCTCCACGTCTCAGTGCCATCAGTCATCAGCAGGATATCGAGATCTCTGTGGTGGCCTTGAGCGGCGATACTTGGCTACTAAAATCCTGGGTCAACATTATCTGATTTGTTGTTCTGTTATAATAATAATGGATAATAATGGTATCATATGTACTGTATATATTTGCATATTTAACTATGACTATAATCACATAGATATGCACAGACATATTTTTTCCCTATGTCCGACTATTTCCTAGCTGTACTGAGGATCCCACTTGACAGTGGAATGCTTGTGGTTTGCAGCTAACAGTCACTTTTGTGCGGTTACCGTATGCGTATGCATCATCCAAGTGACTTGTGGGGTGTTCCGCAAGATGACAGTTGACACACTTCCAGGATCTGAGTTACCAGAGGCTAAATCCATCTAAATCCCATCTAAATCCCTATGAAAAATCACCATAAATCCACCATTTTTTGTCATTAAAACACCATCTTTGGAGATGATCTGATGATGTCGCTTGACACATCTAACGGTTTACCAGCTGCTCGGCCGCCGATGGATTTTTGTGGTTGAACCATGTTGAACCTGAACCAAGCCCCAGGAACTATCGAAAGTGGGTGAAATTTTCAATAGTTCAATTAAATAGTAGGTGAATAAGCCCTAAAACCCTAGTAAATATTATTCACTATGATCAACCATTATTCACTATTAATAACCCCTCAACCCTAGTGAATAAGAGTTATTCAATGGTGAATCATGGTCGATAATGATTAATAATGATTAATGTGGGAAACCCGATAATAAACCTACGATGTGGGGTTGGTAACCATATGTAAACATAGCACCCATAAAACTGGTGATGACTTGGCAGTGCTACAGTTCTTATAGGTTCTTATAGGTTCTTGTGGACTTGTGGTTCAACTGCGTGAACTTGATCGCCTGAAGCAACAAAATGCATAATTTTTGCGATTTAAGTATATTTAAGTCACGAATGCATCAGATCCAAAGTTCAGCACGATCCCTTCCGACCTTCGACCCCTTCGACCTTCGTACGTCAGCGCCTTCTCCAAGCCGTCGCTGAGGCAACGATCATCGAGTTGAAAGTGTCGCGAGAAATCACCGGGCAGGCGAGCCATGATTGGCCGAGTTGCGTCATCGCGTTGGTGATCGAAAACCCCTGGTTGTTGTTTGAAAAAAAACAACGGGAAGAGTGGTCGAAAATAGATGTTACCATCTGGTTATTTCACATAGCCATGGAAAATAACCATCTTTAATAGGTAAACCATCTATAAATCACCATTTTGAATGGCTATGTTAGTCATAACCAGAGGGTAGATGTTACTTATTGTTATTTCATCTCCTAAAGCCTGGTGATGCCACATTTTTGATGGGAAAACCGTAGATTCGGTCGCTGTCAATTCCCAGTCATTTCTGTGGGTAGCCTACTATCAATTACCATATATATGATATATGGAACATCCACCATTTATAGCTGATTTCCTGGGTTTACCCATGGGTTTTATTTTTTTTAAATCTTTTTGTGTATGTAACAACCACAAGGTGAGTTCAATCAAATAACCAGGAGGCACCACCAGTAGTATTCATGGGTATTCATATGGAGTTTCGCGCGAGCTGGTTTTCAGAAAATTCTGATCGTGGCATTGCTAAAAGCGTTTCTATACTATCAAGTGGTTTTTCTGATGCATTGTTCGTTTGTTTTTGGTGACTTGTGACTTTGGAACGCTTATTGGCCATTTGTATCCGAACATTTCTGATTCTACAGATTTTGAACCTTCAGCCTCCAACTTGAACATCAAGAATCAGAATTTTCTGATTGTGATCAGAATTTTCTGATTGTTATCCAAAAAAAATGCAAATCAGAATTTTCTGATTGTGATCAGGATTTTCTGATTGTGATCAGAATTTTCTGATTGTGATCAGAATTTTCTGATTATGATCAGAATTTTCTGATTGTGATCAGAATTTTCTGATTGTGATCAGAATTTTCTGATTGTGATCAGAATTTTTCTGATTGTGATCAGAATTTTCTGATTGTGATCAAAATTTTCTGATTGTGATCAGAATTTTCCGATTGTGATCAGAATTTTCTGATTGTGATCAGAATTTTCTGATTGTGATCAGAATTTTCTGATTATGATCAGAATTTTCTGATTGTGATCAGAATTTTCTGGTTGTGATCAGAATTTTCTGATTGTGATCAGAATTTTCTGATTGTGATCAGAATTTTCTGATTGTGATCAGAATTTTCTGATTGTGATCAGAATTTTCTGATTGTGATCAGAATTTTCTGATTGTGATCAGAATTTTCTGATTGTTATCCAAAAAAATGCAAATCATAATTTTCTGATCACAATCAGAAAATTCTGATTGTGATCAGAAAATTCACTCAATAAGCGTTTTGTTTTCTCAATTTTGTTTTTTTGATGCAAAATTGAGAAAAAAACGCTTATTGAGTGAATTTTCTGATCACAATCAGAATTTTCTGATTGTGATCAAATTCAGAAAAAAAACCGCTTATTCAGTGGATTTTCTGATCACAACCAGAATTTTCTGATTGTGGTCAGAATTTTCTGATTGTGATCAAATTGAGAAAAAAAACGCTTATTGAGTGAATTTTCTGATCACAATCAAAATTTTCTGATTGTGATCAGAATTTTCTGATTGTGATCAAATTGAGAAAAAAACACACGCTTACCGAAAGACCGAAAACAACAAACAAAGACTTAAAACAATTCTTTGCTTCGACCGACCCCCCCGTCACATAAACCCTGGCATACATTCTGGCATTCTATTATCTGTAATTTCTTCTGGTGTCGCTTCGGGCGTTCTATCTGGCATCAAATATGGCGTTCTATCTGGCAAATCTTTTGCAAATTTTACCTGGCAAAAGTTTTGGCGTTCTGTCTGGCATACATTCTGATCCGACTGGTGAAAAGTTAGATTGCTGAAGATTTGCCGGGTTTGGGTCTCATGTCGCGACCACCGTTTTTTTTGCCTGTTTGCTGGTTTTCACCCATCGAATGGAAGAGCAATATGACATATAGCATACATATTTATGTTTGGTACAGGGCTTGAGCCAGGACAAGTAGCTGGAATGCTTGATATGCGTTCTTGTGCACCTTCCATTTCAACATGACACTTTGGTACGCTTCTGAGGCCTCCCGGTAACCTAAAGTGAGGTCCGAACGCATATCCCACAAAAAAACCTTCTCCCACGAAACTTCATAGGTATTCAGCCAACTCCTCCAAAGAAGAAGACCTCCCCTCCTTTATGATAGATGGCTCAGCTACGCCCTAGTGGCTGTTGCTACCTGGAGGATGCTCCCACGAATCATAACAGAACTGGTGAACTGGTTCGTGGGGTTAGTTTCCAGTTTTAAATGATATAAATTAAATGGATATAAATGGGATAACCCCACAAAGATGGGGACTTATTACAGGAACTATAGGATTATGAACAGGATTAACATTCCACTTATATCATGTAGTAACATTAAAATAGGCTAACCAGTTAATGATAACTATAGGCTTATTAATCTTATTAACCACTTACGATTCGTGGGAGGGGTGGACCATTCGCCTGTCACCTCCCCGTCAGGACCTTTATGATCTGGCAGGAAGTTCTTTCCCGCCCGGCACTGTGTTCAAGCTGTTGCTCGAGGAGCCGTCAAGCTGCAGGGGATGGATATCCTTGGAGTGAACAAGTTGAAGCATTAAGAAGAAAATTGAGTGTAAGGGTCTTCAAATCTTCAAATTTAAGTTTGAAACCAAAAGCAACAGGACTTGGGGATGGGTTAAAACCTATGATATTTGGATTACACTTAGGATATTCATCAAAAACACATGGGAACTTAAGCACCAGAACAATAGAAGGGGATTCTTGGATGGGTCAAAACCAACAGATTTCCATTTCGGAGGATGAACTATCCAGAAGTTCCAGCTATTCAGGTTCGTTCTCTTTTTGTATTTGTTTTATGATAAAAGGGAAACCAAAATCAATTGTATACTGTATATATATCTTTTCAAGTCGAGACACACCATGTTATCTTCTCAAAGTTTCAGATGATGATAACGATAACAACTTTATAATTTACCATTTACACATGATTTCAGATGATATTTCTATATATTTGTCTTTGATTTTCATGCCTTTCCACAGCCGTTGTGTCGACCACAGGAGAAGCTGCTGCAGAGGGACTCGGATCAGCCGCTGAAATGCGCGCCGTCTCCCGTGGTGTTGAATTTCACCACCGGCGTGGCTCTCAGGTCCAACTCCTTTTTGGTTCGGTATCTTTGTGAAGGAAAATCGAAAACCGGAAAGCTCTAGGAAACCTCTAGTTTCTTGATGGTAGAAACCCATGGTTTCCGATTTCCCCTTCAACTAAGCCGTTTTTATAGTCCATGCCTATCATCATTTTCCCTATCCATGGCCATTCTGGGATATGGAAAACCAACCATGGATGTAGATCATTTTCCTTGGTAGCATAGGTTGTCCATGTCTATAAAAAACCAGATGGTATACACAACAAGCCCCTCCTTGATTTCTTGCTGGCTTGTCAATATGGTACTGTCATCATCTATATCATTTCTATTTAGTTCTATAAACGATGATAATTTTCTGGTAGTGTCATATTTTACTGATATTTTTAGTGAACAAGCAAACGATCACCAAGAACTTGATTCAGATCAGTCATCGCCAAAAACTGATCTGATTTCACACATCCGTAAATTTCACAATCAAAACGGGGTTCTTTTATTACCAGCAATACAATCATTGCAGGGTGATGTTAAAAAAACAATATTTTTCATGGAATTTACAGTATAGAAGTAACCAACAAGATGCCGAAAAGCAATGCAAATCACTATGTTAGGATTGGATTATACTTTTACTATCTTTTACTTCTATCTGTAAAACATTTTACTACAATCATGTTTCAATATTTTATAACATGTCTTAATATTTTACAATCTACAGGATGCCCCCCCCAGATATAAGTTGATTTATAAACCTCATTCACATCCATTAATTAGTTCGTTATATCTACCATAAACCATAGAATTCAGCCACACAAATAAGGCAACTGAACGCTATCGACTGCAGGCCCCATCCTGTAGTTGTTATATACCATTATATACCACTATATCCCCATATATTTATATGATATACCATCATGATAATTATAGTAGATTCATCCCAATAAGGGAATAACTATCCCAATAGTAGTAATATATATAATGAGTATATTTTGGTAATCAAATATGTAATGATTAATGATTAATGATGGTGCCAATAATATCGGTTTACTATTATCATAATATTTTACAATCTAGGGGTTACTACATATCAGAAACCGAGGTTGGCGTGGTCACGGATCTGAAGCTGATTCACTGTTCCTCGATGGAGGCCGGTCGCGGCGGTGTCTGGATGTGGTGTCCTGGTCAACGCTTACACTTTGCTATTGATGGCCATATAAATCGTTGATCTATCTATAAAAAATGGTGATGTCCCATAGTTTTTTGTATGTTTACCAGAGGGTAATATGAAAAAAAAAGCAAGATGCAGACAGGTTTAACTTATCACTATATTTATACGGTAGGATTTTTCCTCCATTTTTTTGGGAATTGAGTTAAAACGACACCATCCTTCCATTTCTCTCATTATCTTGGCTAGCCGGCCAGTTGCACTTGAAAGAAGATACTATAAGAATACTGTCTAGAGATACTATAAGAATACTGTCACTTGAAAGGTACCATCTGGTAATCAAGCATGGATTGCTGGACAGTTCCCGGTTTAGTTGTTGAATTTCTCATTGAAATGCCTGCTTAGTTTATCCCAGCACGCGACGTTTGATGTCACTGGGTAATCCAAATTTTGATCATGGTGGGCAAAGTATCTCAATTACATTCCACGATTTCCCATTTAAATCCTAGCAAAACCAAGGTATTTACACATTTCGTCACGAGAAAAAACCCTTTAGATTTCAATTTGAAACAATTGAATTAATCGCAGCAAACGTCCTCAAACATCCTCAAACATCCTCAAACCAAAAAAACAAACATACAAATCTCATCAATCGTTCATTACTAACTTCTATTCCAAATAGTTTTACAATAAAGGGGTGTCGTTTCATATATATATATATATGATTATATATGTACATGGGAATAGACGTCCCTTTGCAGATGTTCCCTGGTTAAACCTCCATTAATCACCTCTTTTGTCGCTCCCCCTGGCAGAGTTATGGCACTTTAAATACCAGTTATAAGTCACTTATAACCTCATTTATGGAATGGATAACCCCGTTGATCGCCAATAAAACAACTGTAATAGGAATTATCATTGTAATCATCATCTATTAGGATTATAACATATTATCTATGCGTATAGGTATCCGAAGACCTAATCACAATTCTAAGATTATAATGATTATAACCCCGTTTTTATGGGGATGATAATTATAATCATCATTTATATATTAGGATTGTAAATTATAACATATTATAACCATTATCTATAGGGATTATACCATATTATAACCCATTTACACTTTTTTTTCGGTCGTGCGAAACATGGCAGGTGGTTTGTGCAACTTGGTCCGTCGGGGTCGTCACAAGTTGGCTCACGCCGTATTGCTTAGCAGCACAGCGACGGTTCGGGAGGCGGGAGATCTACGTTGCGAAAACGTGCGGGTCGGCTGGCATCCCTGCAAAAATGATGGGATTTAAATTTAGTGGGATTTAGTGGGGTTTGATTTAATGGAACTAAATGGAAATTTATGCGATTTCATGCGATTTCATGTGATTTCATGGGATTTCATGGGATTTCATGGGATTTTATGGGATTTTATGGGATTTCATGGGATTTCATGGGATTTAACGGACTTTTATTGCTTTTACTTTTGTTTTTTTTTGGTAAGACATAATAACCAGAAGAAATTTGACTTCTGGCCTTTTTTGAGCTGTGTTTTGGTAAGATATAACCACTAGAAATTTGGACCATGCTTTTTATGGGGGGCTTGACCAGGAAAGAGGTGGATCAACATGGCAATATGGGATAATATAGGAGAATAATGGGAACATGATAATAAGCTATCCCTATCCCCAATTGGGGTTCATGATTGACTACACTACACCCTAGAAATGGTATGTAAAATTTTCATTCAAATGGTACTTACCAAATTGGTTGGTTGTGATTGGTGTAAATACATCTAAATACTGGTTTCATAGGCTACCCATATTATTCGGATTATTGTGGTGTATATCCCTAGTATCCCCTAATAATGGGATGATTTGTGCGCCCCCATTTGGGGTTGGTTAATCGATGGCTTATTATTGGGTTTACCGCGCTTGAGATCATTATTTGTACCAAAGAAATGGCTGGAAGCAACTGCAAAACCACAGAAAACACACTGAGTGGAACCCAACAGCAGTCAGATCTTTGTGTGAGTTTGTCCCAAGGAACATGGCCGTTTCTATGTGAACATGAGGTTCTAAACCAGTGGATTTTGGGGTATTCCCATAAATTTCAACCAACTAAGTTATTGCTGTTCAATCTATCCCAGTTAGTAATAACCATATGAAATACCCCAGTGTTATATACTGGTTGGAACATTTTTTATTTTTCCATATATTGGGAATAATAATCCCAACTGACTTCATATTTTTCAGAGGGGTTGAAACCACCAACCAGTATATACTATATATGTTAGACCCGCTGGTCATTTCACAGTTTTTACTGCGGAAAACCAAATCAACGTTTTTATCGGGATTGATCAGAAAAAAACTAGATGGACCAGTCAGCTTCCAGTTCGCAGACTGTTACTCGTGACCAGTACAATTGCCTCTCTCTCTCTCTCTATATATATACATGACCATTTGTCAAAAATCGTTATATATCTGAAGTTTTGTACCAGTGGTTGATAATTCATATGCATCCAGTGTTTTTCTTTATACCTCTGATCGTATCCCATGAAATCCTCTCTTTTTAGATACAGTAACTAGGACCAGGACAATTATCGATCATCTGGAATTTTAATTAGGATATTAGGGGAAAGGATCCTTAGATCTACATAATGGGATAAGTCCAATGATATGACCATAAATGGGATATATTATCAACATAGGATAATCACATAAATCGGATAATTCACTTGATAATGGATTAAACGATAAAAGGATCACTAAATCATTGATATTTCACTATTATCCCATACATCATCATGGGATAATCAGCCCTCGATCATCCACATTTTTTTATGATGATGGCTGAATCCATTATCAATGCTGAATTCATGTGATATTGTTGATAATTCACATGGGTCTGTCTGAAAATAGGGTAGTAGATCCATAAAATGACACCTTTTCACTTGGTCTGTGGGTCCCTTCCCAGTATCCATAAAATGACCATTTAATAAGGAAAATGATGGTTAACCAATGTACCCTATGGTACAGACAAAGCCTCAGGAGTTGACCGGTGACGCAGAGCTACTGTCCTGGGTGGCCTACACTTCGGGTGGAGCACGGCAAGGTTCCGATGGAAGGAACTGGCGAGTTTTGGAAGTCAGTTCCTCCATTTTCAGACCCAACTCAACTCAAATCCACATTTCTACAGGTTAAACCACGATTCTTCATGGTTATATAAACCCTAGTGTTCCACCATTTTTGATGGTTAACCCAGAAAATAGTGGTGAAATCACCACTGTTTCATGGTTTTTGATGGTGAAAGCAGCACCACCAGGGAGCCGTCCGGACGGACGGCCCGTGCCCGGTGCGCTGCGATTGCTGTGGGAGATGATCCTACGACAACCGCAACAGGTCCAGCGGGAGGTTTCCGTTTTGTCATGGGGGTACCCCTAAATCATCCATGTCAATAAGATTTCAAAAAAAAAACACCATAGGAAAGCCTCATGTTTTAGTACATACGGAGCTGTCCCCTTTGCTTCTTCGAGCTGTGTCAAGGTTCGCCGATGTGATCCACAGACAGGCAGGGATGAGCAAGCTCGATGGCCCAGCGCCAGCTTTTCTTTCGGACGGATTTTCGTAGTTTGAGGGCAAGTAACTAAGATGCCTCTTCACTAAGACAGTACCCAATTACGCCTTTGAAGTAATAGTCTTGAATAATATTTGTTTCTGGGGTTGGAACTATGGACTAAGCCTATGATTTACCAACAATGGGAACCAGCAATACGGCCCGAATTGTATTCAATAGTCCCTTGAAATACTACAGACAAGTATATGATTATTATAATTTACCACTTTGATTCTGAGTAGTTTGTTTCTCCTATTGTTTTTGTTGTGGGTTGCAATCAACAAACAGTTGCTCTTCAGATCGCCATGGCAGGGAAGCTGCCCTTGCACGACGCAGCCTGGGGGATGGCGCCCTTCGAAGTAGCGGTGATGTTGGCAGCTGCCTTTCCAGCCTCGGTTCAGGTGAGACCCTGCAGGGGCTGGGCTGCCGAAAGCTTCAGAAAGAGCCAACTAGATCATCTTTGGGATCCTACCCTCCAGTAAACTAACATAGCTATTGAAAATGGTCAAAGAAATAGTTGATTTACCTAGCTATAAAATGGTGATTTTCCAGTTCGCTATGTTAGTTTACCAGAGGGTAATGTTCAAGTTCCATGTGAAATTTAGGTGTAATGTGTGATAATCATGAGGTTGTTATGGGATAGTGCTGGGATAACTATGAAATCATTCCATCCCTTTGGGTTTAAGAAATGGGCTATCCCCGAATCCCCTCATTTGAGATAGTTCAAACATGTTCAAACAATTTGACCAAATGGTTAAATATTTGGGGCTTGGTTTGTGGTTTGGGTCATCACTTGGTGAAGTTGTTTTGTTCTGGATACGCGGTATACCATTCAAAACCATTCACTGTCATCTGCATCTAGACATGTGTCTTAGTTTTCCAAGATCTGGAAAAACTATCCACTGTCATTTCTAGAATCTGCTTCTGGGACATGTCTCAAACTTTAGAAGTGGAACCGCCATCGGACCCAGGACCGGAAGAACCGAGGTGGGGAGGGGGTGGGGTGGAAATTGGGAGTTACCCCCCCCCAGTTATGGCCCATTTCAATCGGAAAAATGAGGAGTTGGAGTTTGCGAAGTCCAAATCTATGAGCCCAGTTCCTGGAACCTGCGGTGGATGCAGAAAACCTGGTCCGTTATTGATCATTTGATGATAAATCATCAATCCCCATGATATCCTCATGATGTCACCATCAAATCCATCATCAAGTCACCATCTTATTGGCAAGTCACCATTATATAACTCACCATTAAACCACATATTTCTATATATTTCTTGGGTAAAATCCCATGTTTCATGGGCTACATGCCGTTTTTCATGGGCTAAATCCCATCTTTTTGGCCGTTTTTGAATGGCCAAACACTCCGATGACGTGGCCTTCAGGGTGCGAGTCTCCGCATGACGTGGGGCGCTACGTGCATCCCGGCTTCGCGTGGCCGTGCTCGGAGCAACTGATGGTGCCAAGGGGCAGAACGGGGTACTTGGAGGTGTGCGTCCTACTTAGTACTGGTTTATAAAATTTTGTAAATCTGGTTGGTGGTTTCAAACATGAATTCTATTTTCCATAATATGCTGGGGATGTCATCCTTCCCATTGACGAACTCATATTTTTCAAGATGGTTAAAACCACCAACCAGAAATGTTTATACATGTTTATAATCCAATGCAACTTAACCCCTATTTCATCTCAGGTAAGTGGGGATGTACCAAATAAGATCATAGAAGCGGTTTTTGTTTGACCCATTCACTAACTGGGATGCACCCCCAAGTACGGGTCAAAAGGGGTATAGCCATAGTTTTGGAGAAATTTTGGAGCTCTTTATTTGATAAATGGGATTAAATGGTGTTCATTAATATATTTGTTTATAAGTAAATCATAAATTTATAATTAAATATTTAGAAATATATTTTATAAATATCCATTGATATTTTATATTATAAAATTTGGGGATATTTATATCCATTGATATTTTCATGAACTTCTACACCCCCCCGGGCAGTACTACCCTAAGAGAATTTTAGATAGTAAATAAGAAAACGGGTTTGTATCCCCTGATTTTTCAAGAAATAATTAGTAGCCTAATAAGGAAAATGGGGTGTATACAAACCAAAACTAATTAGTAGCCTAATAAGAATTGATTTTGGCATTTTGTATAAAACTTATTAGCATGCTAATAAGGAAAAAAATCCTTATTAGCATGCTAATAAGATTTATACAACTTTTTGTTTGTATAAAATCTTATTAGGGACCTAATAAGGATTGTTTCCCTTAATAGATGCCTAATAAGATTTTATACAAAATTGACGGGGTATGATTTTTGTATAAATTCTTATTAGGGTCCTAATAAGGATTTTGTCCCTTAATAGATGCCTAATAAGATTTTATACAAAATTGACGGGGTATGATTTTTGTATAAATTCTTATTAGGGTCCTAATAAGGAATTTTTGCCTTAATAGATGCCTAATAAGATTTTATACAAAATTGACGTGGATGATTTTTGTATAAAATCTTATTAGGGTCCTAATAAGATTTGTGGCCTTAATGGATAACTAATAAGATTTTATACAGAATTGATGGGTATGATTTGTGTATAACAGCTTATTAGGGTCCTAATAAGATTTTATACAACATTGTGGATATCAACTTTTTGGTTAATCCTTATTAGACACCTAACAATTTATTGAGTTTACCGCTCAATCTAAATAACGAGTTGGCTAAGAGTGTGGCCTGGGCAAAGTGGATCTGGGAGTGGGAGGATTCGAACCTCCTCGGCAGCCAAAAGCTAGCTTCATGCCGATGGCCACTAGACAACAGATCATGCCATCTGGGGGCACACTGGGCCACCATGACTGAGCATACAACGCTCCCATTTCCAATGATCCTTAATAGGCTACTAATAAGGGACTCATTCCCACCCTTGCCTATCTCATCCCTACTTCGTCCTTTCTTGTCCCACCCCCACCACCCTTCTCATCCCCCTCCGCCCATGGTATGCAATGCAGAAATTCTCTCACCCTCACCCAATACCCTTCCCCCCAATCTCTCACAAACTATATAATCCTCATGAATAGAATGCTAATAATGGAAATCATGATCACTCTCTCCCATTTAATTAGCACAAGACCACAGAGGTCTTGAACGCTTATCAGAACCCTTGGAAGCTCCAGTGAGGCAGCTTTGCATCCTACAACTGAATGACCTTTCAGCGAACGATCTTTCAGCTGTATGCTGCAAATCTCTGCTGCGCTCCATTTCACGGCGTCATGGTCGAGAAGGAAGTGCCCACACATTTCACCTCTACTTCACAGTGAGTTACAACTGCATCTCACTATGAAGTAGAAGAGAAAGATTGTTGGATAGTGTTGGGAGGCAATGAGCCTTACAAAGCAACGAATACCGTTGTGACGTGTGTGACATTAAGCAAAATGGAAGCAGAGACAACCAAATTGCCTGTGTGTGCAATCTCTGAGTAACCGGTAATATGGAATCCACGATTGCTTCTTATTAGAGGCCAATTAGGTTTTTTTCACTTTTTTTGTATCCCATGATACAGTGTTTGGATACAGAACCTTAATAGTGCCCTAATAAGTATTGGAATGGATAACATTCACAATTGTTCCTTATTAGAGGCCAATTAGGTTTTTTTGCACTCTTTTTGTATCCCATGATATATTGTTTGGATACAAAAACTTAATAGTTCCCTAATAAGTATTGGAAGGGATAACATCCACAATTGCTCCTTATTAGAGGCCAATTAGGTTGTTGTACTTTTTTTTGTATCCCATGATATAGTGTTTGGATACAAAAACTTATTAGTGCCCTAATAAGGATTTAAAGGCATAACAATTTGCCTTATTAGGTGTCTATTAATTTTTTGTATCCCCCAGGGCCGGGCTTGGATACAAAAACTTATTAGTGCCCTAATAAGGATTTGAAGGGATAACACTTTGCCTTATTAGGTGTCTATTAATTTTTTGTATCCACCAGGGCCGGGCTTGGATACAAAAACTTATTAGTATACTAATAAGGACGGAAATTGCCTTAATAGCATACTATTAAGTTTTTGTATGATTTGGGGATACAAATCCTTGTTAGGATACTAATAAGAAAAAAGGCACTTTTCTTAATGTAGACCGGATTAGTATACAAATAAGGAATTGGATACAAAATCACACGTAATGGATTTTAGGCCTTAATTACTATCTAATTTTAAGCTACTATTAGCATATTATTAGTATGCTAATAGGATACATTTAAGGGTTGTATCCCAGAATGAGATTTTTTCCTTATTAGCATACTAATAATATCTTATTAGTATGCTAATAAGGAATTTACAAATGGTCAAATCCTTAATATTTTTGTAGGGTAGTACGGCCCGGGGTAGTCTAGAAGTTCATGATATTTTATTAGAAATGGATATTGATTTTGGGGAGAATGGGAAGTAGATGACTAAGTAGATTGATTATCATTCTGCAATTCAGGACGGAATTCCATCACCTCTGCAATTCCATCACAGCCCAAATGCGGAACCGCAGCCGCGACAAGCCAAAAACAACCAACGCCGTCTCTCGCCTCCCCCCCCGCCTTACGGAAGCATGCCTGGCCCGGCCCAGCTGGAAGTGCTTAGGCTGAAGGTGGTGTTGGCCACCGAAGCCGACGTGCGCCAAGCACTTCGGAGCAAGGGCTTTACCCGCACAAGGGTCAGCCAACTGTGGACAGAATGTCTGCAGAGCCCCCCGCGGAGATGGGCTCAGAGGGAGCTCCAGAGCGCTCAGGACCAACCACAATGCAATCACGATGCCTCGAAAGAATTAAATAGCACGAATGATGCACCATCAATTATATATCCTGATTCGATCATAGATTGCTTGAGCAAGTAGGTTGATCACCGATGACCCGATACATTTCCTCGAACAACGACTTGAGAACAGAATTTATCACGTCTAAAAATAACAATATCCAATATTCATAAATAGACATGATAACGATCGGCCATTCAAGATTGAGACATTTCTCAGTGCAGAAAGATCAATAGATGCAATAAAAGAGGAAAAATTCGAAAAAACAAAAGAAAAAGGTTACGCACCTACAGTAATTAGATATACTGTTTATGTAAATATCAACATATATACATATATATTATTTATATTTATATATGTGTGTGTATGCCTCTACGATCTAGCTATGCCTATCTGTATAATTCTAGACCCCTTGGACCCCCTTGATTCACATCGAAGGAGGAGGTGGACGGGCACGTGCTGGAGCTCCTGCGGGTGCGGCGCCTGAAGGCGGCACTGGGCAAAGCAGCCCGCCGCTGCCTGAGGGAAGTTCGGCACCACCGCAGCCGCCGGGCCTTCATGGCCCGGAACGCCCGCCTAGTGCGGGCTCTGCTGGTAGAGCTGCAAAACTAGGCCGGGGAGTGCGGCTGGGGCCTGGGATGAGCACGAGCCACATCATTTAATTATTCGCTAAAGGCAACGTGCATCTTCCATCTAGCGACGTTTCAAACCATTATAATTATAAGCATTGGTGTGCAACTTCAAGATTGCGCATTCGAAATTCTATTTGGCAAGACTAGTTAATATAAAATGCACGGATCTAAAGATGATGAAGATATAGAGAGAGAGGGAGAGCGGAGAGAGAATGAGAATGTGTCCTTACATGAGAATGCATGCGTATACATCTTGTAATGGTACCGGACGATGGAAATTTCCGATAAGAAAATTGAATGACCTTGTCGCCCTACCAAAACGCCCCGCCGCAGGACGGCAGCGAGGGCAGCACAAGCACAGAAGCCGCCGCACAGGCCCCCCTCCCGCCGGACGAGCACAAAGCCGTCCGGTGGGAGGGGGCCAAAGGTGCAAGACCAGCAAGGACAGAGAAAAAAGACCATGAGCTGGCGAATTTTGGTTTCCCCCGTGAAGACAAAGCTGATGTTGCTAATCCCCTGCAGCAAATTGTTCTGATAAGGTAACGAATTTTTATCTCCCGAATTGATCAAGGAGCTGGATGCCCACGGTGCTGGGGGGTGGTGAGTGTCGCATTCCACAACCATGGTGCCCCTATTTTTGCCTGAATTTCTCCACCCCTGGTGAAGCAATTGTATTTACCGCATGTTTAAATGAAGTGGATTCCGTATGTTTGAATGGCCGAGCGGCCAAGGAAAACTTTTCTCGAGGTAGTATAAAATACCCGGAATAATAATCCGAACTGACCTTCAATTTTTTCGGAAGTGCAGGGCTCAACCACCCAGCTAGTAGATTCCAAATTGATGGCCGACTGAGAGCCCAGGAACTGGTTGGACTTAACAGTGGTTCTCTTCTCCTTCATGGAACTGCTGGCAGCTTCAGCCCCGGGCAGTTCCACAGGGACTTGGAAAGTATTCGAATGCATATAACTAGACTATATACATAGCTTTAATTACATGCAGCTATGGCCATTTATAACCAATGATAACTGGTTATAAATGGGATTATACATTCTATAAAGATTGGGTTATAAGTATTTATAATTGACTGATACACGGCCACAACTATGGGTTTATGATAATTAAATTAGGGGGTTTATATCTCGTTAATGGCGAATTTTTGATCCGTCATGAAGATAAAGTTGATATTATTAACCCCGTCAAACTTGGTCATAAAGGCTGGCGAATTTCAATCCCTCATGAAGATAAAGTTGATGTTTTATCCGCATAATTACAACATATTGATCATAGGGGGATGGCGAATTTTGAGCCTGCATGGCGATAAAGTTGATGTTATTTGCAAAAGCAACGTATAGTGTTCAACCGAGGCGACGGCGAAGTTTTTGATCCCTCATGAAGATAAAGTTGATGTCATTACCCCCGTCAACATATTGGACATAGGGGGTGGCGAATCTTGATCCCTCATGAAGATAAAGCTCATATTATTTCCCCAAGCAACATATAATTATTGTTCTGAAAGTTCTGGGGGGTGGCGAAGTTTGATCCCTCATGAAGATAAAGTTGATGTTGTCACCACCGTCAAAATTGGTCATAGAGGCTTGCAAAATTTGATCCCTCATGATGATCAAGTTGATGTTTCTATCCCATTCAGAGTCAAAATATTGAATGTATTTCTATATTATCAAGAAAATATAGATTTTATAAATATCCCATTTCATTACCCTTTCAGTCAATATTTATAATATTTTCTATTAAATAATATTTATCATGAAAATATATTTTAATGGATTAAACAAATATATGCTCTAACTATACCTCATTTCTATCCTCAAGATTAATGGTGCATTAAATAAACAAATACCATCAGTAAGGTTCAGTATTTATTTAATGCAACCAATGGAGCTCCGGGACCAGAAATTTTGGAGAAATTTTCAGTATCAACCAATAATTGGGGTCAATTTTGACCTGTTGCCTTATTTTTGTGGCTGAATTCTATGGTTTATGGTAGATCTATGTAGATATAACGAACTAATTCATGGGGTTTATGCTTTATAAACCAACGTTCACCTCACTGGGGGGCCCCATCCTGTATGAAATCCCCGGGCCCCATGCTCCCTGGCAGCCCCCCGGCCGGAGGCCCGCGCCACACGCCTACGGAGCGCCGGACAACTCATGGGAAGGCTGCGGAGCTTGCTGCCGCAACGCCAGGCGAGTCGGGCTCCGGATGATCCCATTGAACCTGAACAAGGTGAACGCGATGTGGGTCTGAAAATAGTACCGACATAGATTAAAGGTCAGATATAGATATATAGTAATTGTAATGTAATTGTATAGTGGGTTTATCATATTGTGATATATTTAAGTGATATTTGAGGTTAGCAAAATCCCATGATTTGTTGTGGTGATTTCCCCAACATATATAATGGTCAGCTAATGGGTAGAAAATGTCCAGACACATCCATGATTTATGAGTTCTTCGGGTCACTCAAACCATCAACCAATAGTTTTTTCCAATTTATATATAGATGTTGTTTCCCTTAAAACGCGATTTACTTAGGATTTCTCATTGCCACGATTGATGACACCGGAGGATACCTTCCCTGAGAGCTATGGAACCCCACAGCAGGTGGGACTTCAAGGATGCATTGATGGAGGACAGATGGAGAACGGTGGCTGCGAGATATGTTTTTTTTCCGGTTGGTTTTTATGATGTTCTCGTCATTTCACAGGGATTTAAAGCATGAACGTGTTTGAATATATGTATAGAAATAGAATTGTAGATATATTTTTATAGTCACTTCTTGGGGGATTAACGCCATCAAAATGTGGGAATCTATTTGATATCGTTGATAAATTATGCATGATTGTATGGCAGATTGTATTGAAACATTGGGGAATATCACCATCCATTGAGAGGGAATCCCTCTCAACTAACCACAGTGTCATTCATTTAGAAGCGACTCGTGCATAATATGCGCAGCGAAATTCGGTTCCCCATTTTCGTTTTGCACCTCTTTTGCAGCAGTTTCGCTGTGGATGCTTCCCCTTTTAGGCAAAGGCCATGTGCATATGCATGCTTGCATTTATATATTTATAACTATCTATAGCACTCATTACCCACTGATATGCATTAAATACAATGAAATATTCACCCAACATTTCTCTCCATCTCTATCCATCTCTATCCAGATCAGAGCGGTTTTTGGACCGTCCTTGGACTCCCATATTTTGTGACTCGGCGCTTGGCGCAGGACTGAAACTGGGCCTGCGCGCGAGTTTCCTCATCGCATCCTGCCTCACCGACTGCCAGGCGGCAGGGGGGTGATACTTGAGACGAGTGTCCGAAGCGAAAAAAACCGTGTTGAACGCCTAAATGATACGGCTCTGGTTGAGTTATCATCATCCTTTTCTTCCTTGGGGATTGTTTAACAAACATGTAAGTAACAGAATATGAAGGCTTCCTAAGTCATGGGGGTACCCCAAATCATCCAGTCGTAATGGATGACCATGACTTAGTGACTTGACTTGAGGATCGCGCATGACTTAGGAACCCCCCACATGATTCACGACGGATTGGTTGAAAGGAACATCGAAGAACATCGAAACCGGAAACTCGCAGGCTGGTTTTCCAGTTTTCCCCATGAAATTCTTCGAGTTCAACAATTATTGGTATTGGATATGTCGATGGCAAATTCCATCAATGAATAACATATACAGTAGCTATGGGAAATGGTCCATTTATGGATGATTTACATATTATATTGCCTATATCGCCTATATTTACCTATTAAAACTCATGATTTGTCCAGAACTGAAAAAACGATAGGGTAAATGGTAAAATTTTCTGCTTCATATCCTCCTGTAAACTAAGACTTCGATGTGGAGTTTACCCACCATGAACGTAGATCAGATCTCTTGGGAGCAGTTTAGCCCAGGGTAGATTCCCAAATTTGATGCTTAACCCATTGTTGTTGCTTATAACCACCACTATATAACCATTCTTACCCATTACATAACCATATTAATGAATAACAATGTTATACCATGATTAATCCTATAACCATTATATAACCATATGAAAACCCATTATGAACCATATTGATCCATATTATTTCCATCGATCTTGATTATTCCATATATCATTATTTCCGTTATAACCTTATAAGCAGCATTATTTAACAATTTATATATATATATATGTAAATATTAAATAATCCATATTAAAATACTGGTTGGTGGTTTCAAACATTTTTTATTTTCCCATATATTGAGAATCATCCTTCCCAACTGACTTTCATATTTTTCAAGATGGTTAAAACCACCAACCAACCATATATATATATTAACCATTATCAATCCATATTATAGTACCATTGATGATGATTTCCATTCAATGTCTTCCCCGAATGTCAGGAGCTGATCCATTGGGGTTTGATCCCCGCAACGGTCTTGACGTGGCCTTTCTGCAGTGGCGGAGTATGGCGGGATGGGAGCTCACTGGGCCAAAGAGATGGAAGAGTGAGAGAATCCATAGCTAAAATCCATAGCTAAAATCCTGGTCAATTCCGGTCAATTCAGGTCAATTCACCCTTTCCTGGATTTTTTGAGATGAATTTACCAGAATTTACAAGGATTTCTACCTGTGGCTGGTGAAAATCAGGATTTTTCGGGCTACTTTTTTGGTAGCGATGGACAGCATGTATTACATGGGAATCCAGTGTTCCCCGTGAGGGCTTTCGGGAATGTGTTGTACCATGTACCACGTCCGAAAAGACATCCGGTGTATTTCCAGGTGCCATTTTAATTATATGGGAAACTTGGAATATATTGAGCTCCTGTGTATAATTACAATATAGATAACCAATGATAACCATATACCAGCACTGCGAAGTATGTTCCCATATTTTATGGCATATAATAAGCATATAACCATGTTTAAATGGCCTGCAGTTGCCATCGCCAAGCTCCTGCGTTTATACTGCATAATTTCATTTAATTTCAGCATAACCCCAGTGCATATAATTTCATTATTCTACAGTTGCATAGAAGATGATGACAGGTAACCTATGACGGAATTTAACTATGGTTTATGCTAGTTATAGATATATGTAGTATTCATGGGCTTTATAAAGCAACAAACATCACTGGGGGCGGCCGCATTGTATGACCCACTCTTTCTTGGGACAACCACAGTGCGGGCAACAGGCTCACCTCTTCTCAAGTGCCGACCCTCATGGTGCAGCCAGTGCCGAAGATGCACTCAGAGGTGCCAGAAGTAATCCCTTTTCGAGGTGCTGACTACCACCCTATAGAAATCTATAGAACGCCTAATTAAAGGTATGTTCATAGCATGTTCTAGAGGATTCGCATGGATTACTGAAAGTCATCCCGCCAGGCAGTTCCCAGTGTTGGACGTCAAGAGCCACATGTTCCTTCACGTCTCCGACGTGTCGCTGAGAGACGAAGGAGGCCGGTTTAAAGGGCCAAATCGGAAGCATTGGAAGCGAATTTATGTGGAAAAGTAAAGACTTTATATGGAAAAGTGAAGGTTTTGTGTTTTTTTCATGATATTCCATTATTCTGGATATACAATGGTCAAAGATTGGGGAGTTACATAGTAATTATAATTGAATTAGTCTTTTTGCCATTTCAACCGCCAATCACCAATTGGGTGCTTAGAAAAAGTTACTGTACCACTTGTTTTACATTTTTTTGGCCAAATAACATATTTCCACAGACTACTGTATATCAATCTTGTGAACTCTTTAGTCATGTGACCTCTTTTTTTTTCTAAATATCTACATACCAAATAATTAGTACCTTGACTATATCGCCCCAAAGATGGTTAAAGTACTAGCTCATTGTGGGCTGAAACACCGCATTCTTATCGGTACAAACGGAGAGTCAAACGGTAATGTGGTAAACCCAATCATGAACCATCCCCAAAATCACAATAAATGGGTTGTTTGAATTATCCCTGAATGGTACAGTAGTTTTAGTATTATTACGCGCCAACACCATCGTTTGCCCAAGAATTCAAAGGCCACAGCATGTGTATATATATATATATATCTTAATATAATTATCAATACATGTTGCATAACATGATCATATATGTTGGGATATTGATCATACCATACGGATAAAACTATAGATGCATGGAAATTGTAACATGATTGGAGACATACTGTATCATTCCATGTGGGGTCTCTGTTCTGTTTTAACAACCACTAATTAAGCATGCTGATTCAATGTTCATCCATATCTGAAGTTCATGGCAGCATTGACACTTCGCCATGCCGCAGTAACATACAGTCGTGGCCCAGAGGAAATGAAGGCTTGGCAGCTCTTGTTGGATTGGCTCACGCCAGCAGAGCGGGCCCGTGTCACCCGCGCAGCGGTGGGATTCTGCCGAGAAGTTCAGTGGGTCAGGTCGGTAGCCCGGAATACTCACGGAAACATTAAGAGATGCTACAACAAATTGCCTGTATGATTGTAAGATTACCATCTTCCCCATGACCCCTGAAAGATACATATCATATCATATCATATCATATCATATCATTACCATTTAGGTTGGGGAGGGTACCGTTTTTTGGGGGGCCAGCCTGCTTGTTCCTCATCATTACATGCCAGATTCTTCCCCATGACCCCTGAAAGATACATATCATTGCCATTTAGGTTGGGGAGAGTTTTGGGGGGGCCAGCCTGCTTGTTCCTCATCATTACATGCCAGGTTCTTCCCCATGACCCCTGAAAGATACATATCATTGCCATTTAGGTTGGGGAGAGTTTTGGGGCTTGTTCCTCATCATTACATGCCAGGTTCTTCCCCATGACCCCTGAAAAATACATATCATTACCATTTAAATTTAAGTTGTTTTTTTGGGGGAGTATCCTGCTTGTTCATCATCATTACATTACGACGATGATAATCCTTCCCCGGTCTGGGCAGACGATGGCATTTGATTGCTATTATCATTATTATTTTTTCAATTATCGTTGTTATTACTATTATGATTATATAATTTTATTACAATAGTTCCCACAGTATTAATTGGAATAGAATCAGCCGTTTTCTGGGAATTGATATGTATATAATATTCCATAATGGTATATCATATGCTAGATATCTACCTTAAATTAGATATCTGCCGAAATCAAGGCTGCAAGATTTGCAAAAATGACCAAGTTCTCCGCCTCGCCAGGGATCCCCAGCTCACGGACTGTGCGGCGGTCAATCACCTCCGGGAAAACTTCGTGAGAGACGGCGGTGTCTACGGTGGAGCGCACCGTGTGGGGTGGCCCGGGTCGGATCGTCCCACTAAACATCGGGTAGTGTTCGTGAGGTGAGTATGACCCAGTTTGAAGGGATAAACCATAATAAACCCACTAAATGGGGATTTACTAGGCTTATTATGGCTTATTAACCAGTTACTAAGTGGGATTAACCAGTTGCGATTCGTGGTATGATCCTGAGGTGGAAAATGCAAAATTGGGTTGTTCCCAGCAGGGAGCTCAACTTGAGCCCAGTACTCCAACTTTTGAGGTCAAACATGGTTTGCTGGAAGATCCACCATATTAGTTATAACGATGATTTTCCCATGTAGAGAAACCTCCAGGGCTAGTTCGGGGATGTCCCATGATTTTCCCATGATTTTGCTGGACACCTGACAGTTGCAACGTGAGGTCCGCAATCGTCGCTGTAGTTTTGTGGAAGTTTCTGAGATCTTGGTACGGGCCCAGGAGGATGCAGCGTTGGCCAGTGGCCAGCGGGGTTGGGGTAAACTGATCCAAATTTTGATGGAAAAGTCATGGGAAACGGGAAACCTTTGAAAATATAGGAAAATGATCTAGAAATCGGAGGGTACCAAACTGTCAAGCACTTAATCGTTTGTTGTTTCTTACAGGGTGGGTTTGTCTGAAAATTATAGATTTATATTTATATATATATGTATATTATACACATACATGAGTAACCGAAAAAATTAACTCAAAGTAAAGTAGTAGGGAGTGGACTTAGGATGATCTAATTGCCCTGAAGTCCAGGTTGATATTCATAGAAATTTGAGGAGAACACATCCATTTTTTTTTTGAGATGGCATCCTCCAGGTGTTTTTCTCGGGCAATTTCGGGTATATAGCGGTGATAAGTATGCAATATGTACATTATATGATATGATACTGTATCATATAGCATATATCATATGTACATACATACGTGTGTACGTACGTATCTACATACCTATATATACGTATATATACGTATATATATATATGATGTAGTACAGTAGGTAGGGCTATGAATCGTGTGGCCGCGCTCGCCGAGGTGGGCGAGAAACGCTTTAAGTTGGAGACCCACGTGTCACATACGGTCCACAGTAGTTGCTTGGTTTGTGCCGGGATTCCTTGGCCATTCAGATAGAAAACCACCGAAAAATGTGGATTTGATCATCTAAAATGTGGATTTAACTGATTTAACCATCTAAACTTGGGATCTGATCATCTAAAATGATGATTTAACCAGCGAAAATGGAGATTGAAACATCAACAATTGCGAGTGAACCTCTGTTTCACTGGGGAAGCATCAACCATGGGGATTTACACAGTGATCCTGTGGATTTGACACAAAGATACCCACGGGATTCCCACCAAAGGCGCACGTTTTCGCGGGGTTCATCCCAGTGCCCTAAAGCAGTCATGGTTTGTGAATGCGATGGTTCATTGTTGGCTTTACCAGGTTAAAAACGAAACTTGCAGAATGCAGAACATTGTAGTACTTAGTACCTCGGAAACTAAGTATCTAGGCGCTTGTACTTCGAAACTCAGCATGCTTAAACAATCTTAAACATGTTTCCCTCCTGTAAACCAACCAACATAGATCACCATTTGAGACCATTTCTACATCATTTTCCTGGGGAAACGATGGGTTTTCCACATCAAAGGCATTCAGCGCTCGACACCAGAGAAAGCGTGGCCTTGCAAAAGTGTATGGCAGAATCTTGGTATCGAGGATCTTTTTTACCCCAACTAGGGCCAACTATCCCATGACATGGGATGTCAGTGGTTTTTAGCGGTGTTTTATAGTGATTTAACCGCCAAACATGGGGATTTCACTAAGAAAAATGGTGGAACAATGATGATCCACTAGGATTTTCTGAGTCGAGGATTTTGGCGACTATTTTGAGAATCCACCATGTCCAAAAATAGCCGAACTGTTCAGGTTAGTTAATATAGTTTATCCAGATAGATGTCCTAAAGTGCCACCGGATGATGGAGGATAATGGAAGGGCAACCCCATTCAACAACCAAGAGGTAACTGATCTTTAAATGTTCCCCCCATTCAGCATTCTAGATGAGGACATTCAACAAGTATCCAATGGTCAGGATGGAGCAGATCTTTTTGCGATTGGGGTATCCAGATTCCCAAAAAGCTAGGAACAGTTCTTTCAGCTAGGAATTGAGTTTCCTAACCACATTATAGATATTTATAGATTATATAGCATCATTTTCACCCACGTTCGAAGCACCCATTTTCAACAACCACTGCTATGAATGGCATACCCTTCAGATTCCTTTCAAAAGTAGCTATATAAAGTTATGATTTATCATAATTTGGTTGGTGGTTTGGAACATGGCTTTTATTTTTCCATATATTGGGAATGTCATCATCCCAACTGACGAACTCCATGATTTTCAGAGGGGTAGGGCTCAACCACCAACCAGTGCTATGTTGCAAATGGCACCGATCCCGGTCCAGGCCACTCACATTTTCTGGAGCTCCAAATGGGCAAACATATTATTATAGAAATTTAGCTACAAATGTGTATATATATAATATATATAATATACATGTATTATTAAGACATATATATACATAGACAATATATGACAATATATTAATATATATATATACACATAGAATCGATTCCCACAATTGCTTGATATTCTTTGAAGCTTCGACTGTCGATCAACACCTGGATGAACAGTTTCGCGTTTCGCCGCGATGGGAACATTATTTTTTGACAAAACCCCCCGGCCCCAGAAATAATCAAACAAATCGAAACGTTATATTTTACTAGTAGGATTTCGCTTTTCTATCTGTATATTTGGGGATGACTATTTTAAGTTTTTCCACCCATTTGTTCGAGATTTGGAGTGGGAAACTTCTCCGTCAGGAAGGAGCGCCGCCGGGAACGACACGAACGTTGGTCGACTCTCATGACCTGAGCGTGGCACAACGAGTGCAACGCTGCACGGTCTTTTTTTGCGTAGCGGATAAGAGTTTGACTGCGATAGCGTTGACCCTCTGCTTCCCGAGTAGACTCCAAGAGCTTCAATGGTCTGGTGTTTTGGAAAGTTGAAGAAGTTGAGATCTTTTGTTGAACATCTCAATTTTCGTGAATATACTCGTACATGGTAATTACTTTCATGTACTTGCTAAGATGACACACTTATCTTGGATATCTTGTGTACCAAAAACCAAGTACTAGGGGTACATGTACGCGTTGTATCCAAAGACCTGTGCCTTTCTTGGATGCTGAAACACGCAGATTAGAGCTGGGTTTTAGTTGCTGAGAGTCCCTTGGTGAAATTTGAGCAGATATTCGGACAGTAGACATCTGTAGACCATGTTGGGATGTTCACCAAGCTTGTCCATATTTTTTTGGCGTATTGACTTTTGATCCATATCATACAACCCACAACAATTTTTCTCCACCATAACCATCCTTTTTAGCGTCGGATCCTTAAATGCTGCCGCAGTGGAACACCCGTCCTGCAACGCCTTGTACAGATCGATGTACAGCACCTTCAAACACGAAAAAGGACACATTGCTCCAGGGGATCCTGGTTTCAGCTGGGTGCAGGCGAGGATAGCCCATGTCATGAAGACTCAAATGGGACCCTCCGGTAACGTGGCATCCATCAATATATATATATATAGAAATGTCAGAATTCTACTTGCAGATGATGTGTCAGAAACTGACTTGGACAAGTTTAGTGCTCCAGGGCTTCGATCATCACTGCCGCTACCTGAATGTCTGCGTGGCTGGCAGGTGCGTTGGGCCTCGATGGGAATCAAACATGACTGGTGAATGGTTCATAGTCATCTAATAGTCATTTAAGAGTCATTTATTGGTTATTAATACTTACTATCTAATATGTATGGTTAGTTATTAATAGTTTGCAATAGTTATAATATTTGATAGTTATTACTATTAGTTAATAATTGTTTCTACAAGTTATCGATAGCTATTAGTACCAGTTCATACTTATGAATAGTTATTAATGGTGATTTTAACAGTCATTAATAGTCTGTCCATGTTCCCTATCACATGAGGAGCAAAG